AGCCATTTGATTTGCCTAATTCAACTCCCTATCCTTCTATCTGCCTTTTATTATTTTATTATTGCTCCCAGAAGGAATGAACCTTCCTATGCAATCTATGTCCCCTATGTTTCTAATTGCTTACTGCCTCTCCATGCCAGGACCTAGACAGACCTCCTCACTAATTGACAGGGCTGTGTCACCTCACACTAGTAAACTAGTTAAACAACCTATTATTGTCAAGAGGGCAGACTATACATGCTAATCATCAGCCATTCATTAAACACATTCATTTTTTCTAAGCCATATGTCCGCTAGTTTAGCCTGTTTAACTTCATACCTTTTAATGAAGATCCACGGACACAGCAAACTACACTTGTTTATACTACCTGTACGTTAAAAATATGCCATATATGTAATTTACTATGTTATAAATGTGCCTACACATGCTGTTGTGGCATCGTAAGATGTTTTGTTCCAACCTAACGGGGTTATACATTCGCATGTATACTGCAGCTGTCTAACCTAATGTACTTTAGACATTTCTCGCACTAGCTGGACTTTTTCACCATGCCTAATACCGCAAAAACTGCCCTCTACACCCTGGCTAAAAGTAACGTGACAACATATGATATGCCATTGGTTTGCAAAGTTTTCTCTTTTTTGGCAATGACGTCTTGTGTGTGTTTCCCGCACCCGCATCTGTATAACTTCCCTAGCTGGTCCTATTTAATGTGGTACTCCAAGCTGGTTTCAAACTGGCGGTTAAACTATTGATTTATCCCTACACTTAAATACGTGCAACTGGTTCCTTAAGCATAAAAGCTCCTAGCTTCACCAATGTACAGCTTTACACCTATAACCTTAAGCGCAACTGGCTTGGCTATGAGCATATTTAGTTTAGCATGTTACACTACGCAATATTGTTGTCTACTAGCCTGTATTTAACTAAGCTTGTTATTAATAGTGGCATTCAATATAAGTGCCTAAGACATGCACTCGCTATAACTAACCTCGTTCTAGTATCATTCATAGGCACTGTACAGTTTTCATCATTGTTTTCCCATTTTATTAAAAAACAAAAAGTGCTGAACTGTGGCCATTTTACGATAATCTTGCTCTCAACCTCAATGTATATTTTCGTTTAAAAATGTCACTGTGAGCTTGTTAACCAAACTATGCACTGCAAAAATAAAGAATGAATAAAAAAAAAAAGGCGGCTCATTTGGCCAAGATATTTGCTCAACAGATTTAAATTTGTTAGCGTATATTCATAACTAATTTGTACATTCCCCTTACTAATTTTGTAGCCTGCCTTTGTACTTTTCCAGTCCAATAATATCCTTGTTAAGAACAGGTGCCCAAAATTGCACAGCATATTGAAGGTGTGTGGTTTTATTCTTGATTTATAAAGAAGCAAGATTATATTTCTTCCTCTGGGACTTATCCCTTCCGATTAAAAAGATACTACAAGACCCCACTCGAGTTTCTAGGATCGAGAAAGGATTGGACTTAATATTGCTTCTGACATTCAACGATAATAGGTGCAGGATGAACAGAGTACCGAATATATTGGTTACACACCAAAGGCTTAAGTAAGTACACGTGGAACAAATTAGGAATACACATGGCAGAAGGATGTACAGAGCAGAGCATATGAAACCGGATTAACGTTTCTAGAAATGACATACGGACCTATATATCTGGGAGCCAGTTTCTTAGTGGGATACTTTAATTTAATATTACGTGTGGAGAGCCACACCTTGTCCCTAACCTGATAAGAGGGAGCAATAGTACAGACTATGGTAGCATGAACTTTGTGTCAAGATGATGTTAACTTCTGATGAGCTTGCCAATGCGCTTATTGAACCTTATTCCACCTCTACTTTAAATCAGACAGGTGGTGGTCAATAACTGGTATACCTAAATTGTCAAAGGAGAAGGGTATAACAGAAGTATGTCTCCTAGATGTGATGTAAAAAGGACTGTGCCTATTTATTCATAAGTGGAGTTATAGCAGGCAAAGTCAGCCCAAGGGAGCAGATTAGACCAATTGTCCTGGTTATTAGAGATGAAACACTGCAAAAACTCTTATGATTGTTTGTCCCTTTCTGGAGCCTTGTTTGTTTAAGGATGGTACGAAGAAGCAAAAGAGAATTGAATGTCCATTTAAAAAAAATAAAATAAAAAAAAAAAATCTTTCCAAAATCTAGACACAAACTGTGCTCCTTTGTCAGAAAACAATTGTAGCTTTTTGGAGCAATTTAACAGCATGCATTCCGGCTGGGGCGATCTAAACATCTCTTTTAACTTAAACTCACTGGAAATCTGTTTTAGAGTAGCTGGAACAGTTCAGGTATATACTGGACTCATGCATTCAAAAAAACTTGAAAGTCATAAACTGTAATTCTCCCCTAGTGTGTGTGTTTGTCTGTGAGGTGGTGTATGTCTGAAAGGATGTATCTATGTGTGTTTGTATAGCAGGTTTAAGTATTTGTTACTATACAATCAGTGTAGAAAATGGTATAAAATGACATGTGCACCAGTGAAATTTTCGTTTATTTCATTTAAATAAAAATGTAATTCGTACATTCCAAATATCGTCCATAAAACATTAGTTTTTCGGATGAAATTCGGTAAAAAATAATTTGTTTTCGTCCATTAGGACGAAAATAACACTGCGCATGAAAAAAGAAAAGCAAGAAGGAAGCCAGCTGCGCTACCAGCTCCCACAATTCCTACCCACCCCCCTGCATTAAAACCTATGGGGGTCACTATGACCCCCATATTAATAAAAGGGAGGTTAAATCCTCCCGCATGCCCCTACTCACAGCATGCTGTGAGTAGGGGCATGTTGTCTAAACAGTGAGCAACCAGTGGCCCCCACTGGCTGCTCACTGTCATTTGAAACTACTAGTGACTGGGCAGCGAGTGCCCAATGGCTAGTGCAATAAGGGGGGTGAAAAGAATATGATTCTGTGACTGGATCACACCAGTATGCATGCGCACAAAGTGCCTGCAACTAAATGTATATCCAGATCTCAGATTCAGGAGGGAGGAGTGCCTGAGCACCGTCCTGCCTAGGGCATCACAAATCCAAAATACACCACTGCGTGTAACCAATAGTTATAGCAAAAACTAGCTACTTTTTCATATAGCAACATTGTTATCGTTTTTGCTATAACTATTGGTTACTAGTGATGTCGCGAACCGTTTCGCGAACTTCCCGCGAACGGCTCGCCGCGGGTTTGCGGTGAGCTCCGGTCAGCTGACACATCCCAGCCAATCTCCAGCAGACCCTCCCTCCCAGACCCTCCCACCTCCTGGACAGCATCCATGTTGAAGGCATCTTCGCGACATCACTATTGGTTACACGTACCGTAGCTCCCTATCACTTCAACATTTTGGTCTTACTTTTTCTGCAATAACCCATGGTGAGTAACCCAAATAACTAAAATGGGGGGACATAGAGCACCCCTGCGGATGGGGGCTTATTAATATAAATGGGGGACCTAGTGTCCTCCCCAGGCTCCCCGCGGGTGGGGGCCAGAATTAATTTAAAAAAGGGGTCCCCACCCATGAGTGGTGGGTAGGGACCCTAATTAAATAAAGGGGGGGACACCTAATGTCACCCATAAGCAGCGGATGAGAGGCAAAAGGGGAGGGGAGGCCTATTGTCTCTTCCCGGCCCCCACCCATGAGCGGCGGGTGGAGGCCCCAATTATCAATAGGGGCACCTATTGTCTCCCCCCTCCACAAGAAAATTAAACCCTACCTACCCCTCACCCTAAAAATAGTGAGGGGGGAACAAAATACTAAATACCTGTAAATAAAAAAAATTATACTTACCATTAGACATCTTCTTTTTTCTTAAACCTTTTTTTTTCATCCCCAAAAAAGGCCAAATAAAAAGCCATAATTCCCGTCGAACTTTGAAAATATAAAGCCTTCCCACGCCCAGCAATTTGACTCAGAGCGCTCTGATTGGTTGGTTTAAGCCAACCAATAAGAGTGCTCTGATAGGTAACTTACAGGGGTCGTATTTACCTATCAGAGCACTCTTATTGGTTGGCTTAAACCAACCAGTTTGAGTGCTCTGAGTCAAATTGCAGGGCGTGGGAAGGCATATTTTTTTTTATTTACAAGTATTTAGATTTTTGTTCCCACCTCATTATTTTTAGGGTGAGGGGGTAGATAAGGTTTAATTTTATTGGGGAGGGGGTGACTACGAGCTTGAGGACCCCTAGTCACTTGTGAGGGGGGTATTTTTTATATTTAGCCCCAACTGCCGCTCATGGGTGGGGGCTGAGGGGGGGCGGAGACAAAAGGGCCCTACCTATTGATACTTAGGGCCCCCATGGGTTGGGATCGGGAGGGGACCTTAGGTCCCCGTTCCATTGAAGAGCTCCCACTAAGATGCCCCACCATGGGGGACCTGTGCTAGGTCCCCCTTTATTTGATTCATGGGGTGGTGTTTTTTTTGGGGGGGGCTTGCTGCTCACTGTTTATTAGACATGCCCCTACTATCGCGGCAGAGCAAGTAGGGGCATTCGGGAGATTTTAATCTCCCTTATGCTAATATGGCGGTCATATTGACCCTCATAGAATGACTGGGGCATGGGGTGAGTTAGGAAGTGGCGGGGAGCACTGCTCTCTGCCGCTTCTATTTTCACATATTACAAGGAGGGAGCCGTGAGCTGGTAGCTCCCTCCTTGTAATAAACGAAAAGAACTGAAAGAAAAACTTTTGACGGTTACAAAGTATATAACAAGATGAGACTGAATTATCACTTTTAGAACTTTTTACCCAATACACAGACCATTGCTTTTAGTTATTTTAAATTATGATGAAGAAGCAATGCAAGCAGGATAAACAAAATATAAAAAATATATAAAATAAAGAAGGGGCAGGTGGTGTTCCTAAATTGTTTCTTCGCAACCTGTTATGAACATGCTTTTCCATTCAATTATTCTGACAATTTATGTGACTGTGTATCATTTATGTATTAAATGTGTTTTGTTTATTAATGTTGTAATCCATAAAGCCTACAATCTGAACTAAAGTGGTAAGCAGCAATAACAAATACACATTATTCAACATAGATTTATCACAAAAACTCAGTTAGCACAAATGGCTTTGTTTGCAAAACATAAGCCCACTTATAACAAAATGCACAAAGGTTCCACAAGTAGCCTTTTTTTCTGCCATTTCAAGTTTTGTACAGTACTATGTAAATGACATAACATGTGAAAAACCATGATTTCCTTTACACTCATTACACAATAAACATTATATGTCTGTGAAGAAGATTCATCCAGCTTGCATATTTGTATCCTGTCCAAATGTACACATCTCAAAATAATGAACTTTGTTTTATCAGCTATCAGTTTGCACATGTGCCAAACTAAGAAACCTTGGGTATCCAGATAATTTGTCAACAAGAGAAATTAACAATAGGTCTTTAAAACCACCAATGTTTACATATTACCAAATTACATTCTCACTATGTGTCCCTTTGACCATTCAAATGACAGAAAAAGGTCAGGGTTTGAGAAAAGTTGTGGTGGAATTTTCCATAAAGAACCACATGAAGCCATAGCAAAATAGGGAAAATATGAGAGATGGATGATATTAAAGTCACATCAGCACTCACTATGGCAAGGAGACATTACAGAGAACAAATAAAAATACCTGTGATTGGTAACAAGGCAATGAAAAGAAAAGAAAAAAAGTAGGGGGCGTGATTTAGACAAGTGAATTTAAAGGGCATGTTTGAGCAGAGGACATAGAGAAATAATTCTATGTTAAGGTGTGAGACTAAATACAAGTCGAGGACACACTATAAAAGTACAGGCTAAAGTAAAGTTTGACATAAAAGTGACGTGACAAAAAGAAGTCCACATTATTGAAGGAGGGGATAACTAAAACAGGCTTAAACACAGCATGCATAACCCTTCTCTGAACAACAACTTCAGGACAAATGGGATTCTTGCACTTTGTTTGGGGCTCCTTCCGGTGATTGTCAGTTATCTACCTCTCTGGAGAGGAGTTGTAACAAATTTGAGTCCATATGTATAATGGGTCATCTGACATCAGGTAGTGGGCTCTGGCTGGGCAGAGGGATGGTGCCATTGTTGGAATGGCAATTCTGCCTCAGGCTTTGAAAATAGGAGGCCTGCACTGGTTTGTACCCCTGTAAAGCACTCACTGCTTCTTCAATAGTGAACCAGCAACGCTTCCGTCCTATACAAAGAAGAAAATGAAGTCATATTACTATAAGATCAGTTTACCATAATCATATCCAAACAGATTATAGTCATGCGGTTTTCCATTTCTCTGCAAAAACAATTCCAAACTTTCTGACGATCATCTACAGTTCACTTTTTCTGCATTCAGTACTACAACTACTGCAATACATTTTAGGTATAGGTTAGAGTAACTGTGTTAGTTCAGATGGGAAAAGAACAATCGTATTGCAGTACTTCTTACTGATCTAATAAGCCGTATTAACAAAGGGAGGGAGGGATATCAATTGAGGGAGTTCTTAAAGACATCATAAGAACCCACAAAAGTATTAGACCTGAATGTCTGCATAACACAATGATGGTACTATTTTCTCTAACTTCACTGTAATGTATCTTTTATATATTTTTTTTTTATCATTTAAGGATAGGGGTAAAGTTATTTTACTCTTATGACAGCACTAGGAAATACATCCACTTGGTCTCTCAGATTAGTGGGAGTTTAACATGTGCTATTGTATAATCACTGCTGTTATTGGTGCCTGACAGCCTAAATCCTAACGACTAAAGTCGAACTGAATTTGTTCTCTTCCTGAAATAAACCGATACTGCTTTTTAATGGTCCATATCACAATATGTATGCATCAAGTAAAAAAAAATAGATGATAGATCGATAGAGAGACAGACAGACAGACAGACATACCTATACTCAGGGAATCCTCCCAATCTTCCAGTATCTCTGTGACTGTCAAGACATAAACATATGTCCTGTGCTTCCGCTCCAAATTCTACAGGAGAGTGATTGAGAAGAGGGGACTGAATCAATTGATATTTTTGAATTAATTCCTTACAAAAGCACATTTAACATTTCCAGCTACATAACACATACGTGAAATATATTTTCTAATCACATAAATTAATGTTCTTCCAAGTTGTTACAGTCTAGAAAAACCCCATGCCATTTTAGGTTGTTGGTGGGTTTTTTTTTTTAGCAGTGCTTCACTAGCCCTGCTTTGTTTCCTTCTTTTACATATTGCTACCTTCCACTACTATTTGGTTATTCATTTAATTGTGATTTTGCTTGAAGGAGCAGTGAATTCCTCTGGAAGTCGTCCTTCTTCAGAATCAGTGACCATATGTCATCATTAATTTCTTTTTGGACTGTAATTGCTTGGAAAAAATATGTATTTGCTAATCATAAAGTTTGGTTTTGTTCCCAACATGTTTTTTATCGACTAAGCAATTTCTCGTGAAAACTTTTATCCAATCACTGACAATATGTTGGTAACTAGTTCAGAACAAAAATACATGTGGAATATTTCTGTCAAAACATCAAAACGTGTGCAATAAGGATCTTGGCTGCCATGCAGGTCTACTCATGGAAAATTCATAAAAGAGAGTTCAGGATGTAGGAGGTTTGCAAGAGGATGTGTCGGGTGGCATATTATTTACCAAAGAAATAAGCATATTGAATTCTACAATTATATGACATATATACTCATGCCAAAACTAGAGGACTTGGCCTTCACACTTTCTCATGTAATACTTTATTTGTAAAATAAAGTTTTTGACACAAGGCAACCCCCTTCATTATTTGCCAACTTTGAAACAATGAGGTCATTCTGGGGATATGCATCAATTCCTTTTACCTTTATTGGTATTCCTAACTCAAAAGGTCTAACTACTTGAGATTTATTCTTTTATTCATAAGTTTGGAGCTTTGCATCTAGTTGGGCAATCTACATCCTTTGAGAGTACATGTCTACAAAAGGTTCAGATTTCCTTACTATACACTACCCTTGTATACTGGCCTTCCACTGCCACTTTCCCTCATGTTGCTGCTTGGGAACAGGAGATGAAACATTCTAAAGACCCGGACTTGGCAAGCAACTGGGAACCACCAACACTCTCATCAACTGGGCAACCCATATAAACAAGCCTTTAAAAAAAACAAAAAACATTTTTATATGGTATTTAACCCCTGTCAAAGGAAACCCTTGGCACTCTACCTTTCTTTCAACTTCCTGATCTTTATCTCATCTCTCCTCTCTCTGCCCAGGTCTAGTCCATGTTAAGTTTCTGGGTGGCAGGCACAACCTCTCACCTCACTTTTCTATTTCCCTTCTAAACTCCAAACTCTCATGCTCACCTGATCATTTGTTTCCTGGTCACTTTTTTGTTCTCTCTCTCTCTCTGTTTCTTTGTCCCTATGTAGTACACCAAGTATGTGGGATTTTTGTTGTTTCCTCAATCTCTTCTCCTACTGCGAGGTTTCCTTCATTTATTGTAAGATGTAGCCTTCCTTTTTTCATTTTATCAGGAAGTGGTGGACAATTATATATTGGGGTGTGTCTCATTCAGAAAATAAAAAATGTTCTGGGTGAACACGGAATTATGCTGGGAAAAAACAAACTTTTTAGGAGCTCTTTCTTCTCCAAAAGGGTGGCAGCAACTTTCTCCCATCTTTGTAATTACATTAACTATTTCTTCATTTTTATTACAAGACAATTTATGCATTATCTTCTGACACTATTTTAAATGGAATCAGATCTTACGTACCTCAAATACACCCAGCATACGACCCAATATGCCTTTAACTCCAGCCTGTTGGGGGGGGAAAGGAAATCAGTGATTAAATGACTTATTAACACCTTCAGGACGGAGTCAATAGTACACGTTCTGATCAAAACATGTAAACAAAAACTGGAATATCTTTCCAACCGTAATTCACCTCTTTCACCTTAAGTGCACTCACACTTATTATATATCATTTTGTTCAAGGGAGACAGGGCTTTAATTTCTCATAAAGTATTCATATATGAAACATAATTTATTATGAATACAATTTAAAAAACTGGGAGAAATTAAGATTTTTTTTTTAAATTTGTAGTTCCGCTAGTACTGTTAGCTTTTATGGCAATAAAATGCACATATTTGTATTCAGCAAAGTCTCACAAGTACAACAGTACCCCCCCATTAACAGGTTTTACATTGCTTTGGGAAGTTACAGGGTCAAATATAGCACATTCCATTTTTCATTTTTTTCACATTGAAATTTGCCAGATTAGTAATGTTACATTTGAGACCATGTGGTAGCCCAAGAATGAGAATTACCCCCATGATGGCATACCATTTGAAAAAGTAGACAAACCAAGGTATTGCAAGTGGGGTATGTCCAGTCTTTTTCAGTAGCCACTTAGTCACAAAAATAATATTTGGCCAGTGCTTGTGACTAAGTAGCTTAGTGGCTTTTTTAATTTGGCATAGATTGGTGGTAAAATGGTTGTGTGAAAAGAGTCAAAATACCATTAGGTTGTATTCTTTTAAAAATATATACATGTGAATGGTTATTCAGGGATTCCTGACAGATATCAGTGTTACAATGAAACTTTTGTTAATTTTGAAAAAAAAAAAATGTTTTAGAATAGCAAAGTGCTACTTGTAATTATTGCCCTATAAATTTCCAAAAAAAAAGCTAAGAACATGTTAACATTGGGTATTTCTAAACTCAGGACAAAATTTAGACACTATTAAGGACAGATGTTTTTTGGCAGTTATAGATGCGCAACAGATTTTAAGGGTCAAAGTTAGAAAAAGTGCTTTTTTAACATTTTATAAAAAAAAATTATAGTAAATTATAGTAAAATGATGAAAATAATGGTATCTTTAGAAAGACCATTTAATGGCGAGAAAAATGGTATATAATATGTGTGGGTACAGTAAATGAGTAAGAGGAAAATTACAGCTAAACACAAACACCGCAGAAATGTAAAAACAGACCTGGTCCTTAACGGTAAGAAAATTGAAAAGCGATCTGGTCACTAAGGGGTTAAACCCCCTTTTCTATACAGAGGAAAGCTGGAGACAAGCAAACCACATAGTCAGAATGCATACCTCCCATGTGTCCCTATTTAGGATAGGGAAACCCTCTGTCCCTCTTTTCTATCGAAATGTCCCTCTCTTTAAGGAATTCCACAGCAATAATACTCACAGTTGTGTGTTAATACTATATTACATATAATACTACTACTACTACTACTATGTACTACCACTACTACTGTGGCGTAGCTAGAGCTTTTGCGACCAGGGGCAGTCCCTGAGCTTGCCGCCCCTCTAAGCCCAGCCTAAATGAGTTGGAATGCATGGGTGTATTTGTAAGCAATGTAGGCATTGGAACGCAGGGGTGTATTTGTGTGCAGTGCTGGCTTTGGAATGCTGTAATGTATACACTGCCACACATAGACAGGTACACACACCGACACACAGGTACACACACCGACACACAGGTACATACGCACCAACACACAGATACAAAGACACACAATAGGGCATTATTCATTCTTTAAAAAAATAAAAAAATAAAAAATATTCTTAAAGATTGGAATAGTGCTTAGGCCTTTATTTAAAGGAACACTATAGGGTCAGGAATAAAAACACCATCTGCCTGCCAAACCCCCCACCACCCATAAATATAGCTAAATCTTACCTATATTGCAGCATGCTGCTTCTGCTTGCTCTTCCCTTTATCTGCCTGCTTGGCTGACATCATCAGAAGTGTTGATCAAAAGCCAATAACAATGCTTTCACATAGGAAAGCATTGGATTGGCTCAGAATCAAGGAGGCAGATCAGGGGCAGAGCCAGCACAAGCCAAACACAGTCCTGGCCAATCAGCATCTCCTCATAGAAATGCATTGAATCAATCCATCTCTATGAGGCAAGTTCAGTGTCTCCATGCAGAGGGTGGAGACTAGTAGTCATATGAGGAGTGGCCAGTGGAGGTATCCATAGGCTGTAATGTAAACGCATTTTATCTGAAAGGACAGTGTTTACTGCAAAAAGCCTGAAAGGAATAATTATACTCACAAGAAAAAATACAATAAGCTGTAGTTGTTCTGGTGACTATTGTGTCCCTTTAATATTTTTCTAAAAGCTTTCCCAATGATTTTGCTACAAAGAAAAACTTCTGTAGGTAAATAAATTGAAAAACTTCTCACACAAGTTAGAAAACAAGGTATATAAAAATGATAATCAGAGCCTTAGATAGAAATTGTAGATTATGCTAGCTTTAGTGTACCTATAATCTTAATTTTATTGATGACAGGTGGCGAGTATTTGCTTAAGTCTCTCTTTACTAGAACTCCACAGCAGCACAGAAAAACAACCAATCAGAAAAAAGTTAGGTACTATAAAACTCCCCTCCCCATGCATAATTTCCTCTTTCAAGCTGCGACAAAAACAGAATAAAAGGTAGAAAACATAATGGGGAAGAACCAAAGTCCTAGATACGATGAATATAACAATGTCCACCATCTGAAAAGAACTGCCAAACCAGATAGCGTTGATGGACTGTAAACTGAAACGATAGAAAAACAGAATCGAACAGGTTGATTATCCAATGAAATGTACTCTGAATAAACATGTAGGTACCCAATGTAACAACCAAAATTACTTTAATATGTAGATATCCCAACCTTACTCATGAAAAACAGACATAAGAACAGGTGACAGGTAGCAGAGACAACAAGCAGAGTTGCATACATACCTGATTAATCCAAACTATTAAAATTAAACAAGGGAGGGATAAGAACGGGTGGGAAATACTCGCCTCCTGTCATTAATAAAATTAAGATTATAGGTACATTAAAGTTAGCATAATCTACAATTTTATAACATGACAGGAGGCTTCGTATTTGCTGTTTTAACGCTGTTTTAACGCTTTTAACGCCAGCTGACGAAGCATCCCAAGTACGGAAAAAACACCATCCGCTGATAGATCCATTGTACGTGGGTTGTGACCTATTTCCTAGCAACCAGTCCATGAGCTGCCAAGCTGACTTTGAGCCATTTTCCTGTAGTTGTAAAATGTTGATGGTCATTTGCGAACTTAGGGCCTCGAGAAGACACTGCCACCATGTCTCAACTCTTGATGTGTAAGGTGGCTCCTCCGATCGTGCCAGGGTCACCCGGTGACGTGGCCTTGCAGGTAGATCCCCATTCTCAAGGAATGCGCCTAAGTCCACCACCAATTCCGTAATACAACAGAGTGGGATCTTTCGTTCCCTAACGGCCTACGAGGTGAGATGTCTCATCCGAGAATAAATTTATTATGCAGGCAAGGGTGTGGTCAAGCTAGCCATATCCTAAGTGATTCCAATATTCCAAATGGACTGTGTAATCCTTGGCTGCGGCAGAGAAAGGACGTCCAATCAGGGTCCCAAACTGAACTTGTGTGGTGGAACAGTGGTCGACTATTCTGAGAATAGTGAGTCCCGAAAAATTCAAAGGGATGGGAAACGTAAACCGGAGTTGAGATTTCCATCCAGATATGTCATCATCTAAGAGTGATAAGATGTACGGATCCAATGGTGATAGGGACCTGTATGACAACGAAGATTCCTCACGTGCTGTAGTGAGATTGTGAAATAGTCCGATTGCTCGTCGTACAGACCTGTTCCATGCCCGACCTGTCAAAATTCGTGTAGGGATTCCTGGTCTACATGCCACCTACAAGATAGGGTATAATATAGTGAGACCCCTAGGTCCCTGTATCCCTGACTGTCCGGGCACGTATCTCCCAGAGTAGACCCTAGGTCAAGGGACCCAGGAATGTGAGTTCGATAACCGAAGTCAAGATCTCCCTATAGAGGGATACCTCCCTTCTTAGATTGGAGTCCCGTGAACACATTGCGTTCTCCAATACGCCGGCAAGGCGTAAAGTCCATTCGCTCATGACAGGTGACTCCAGAGAGCAGATATAACGAAAAAGAAGGGTCTAGCTTCAACCGTCCGAGTCATGTGTTGTCCCGTTTGAGAATGTCGGCAGCCCTATCTGAATCTGCTACACATCCTGAGCAGTACTCCAGCGGTAGGTTGCCACCCGACTTAACATCCGTGTAGGAGTCGAGGCACAACGGGTTCCTCCGTAGAGTCTCGTAGGTCTCCTTGATGGTAGTTGAAAAGGTGGGTTAGCGCAAACCCAAACAAAGATGGTTCCTGTGAAGGATATAGAGTATAGATAGAGGGCCCTCCATCTCCCTAGTCATATTACCCGAGCAAGGCAGTGCCCGTTTGCTCCATGAAGGTCTCAGTATCTCATGTCATCTCGATATGGGAAAAACTGTCTACGCAGTTTGTTCACAATGGTCCGGATATCTAAGACAGAATGTAATTGTCTGTTTTATATAGCGCAGAATATACCAAAACCTGCACTCTTGTAATACCTGAGGCTCATCCCTTAGCCGTACCGACTCCAGGAGTGAGTGTAAATAAGCGGAAGTCTCCCCCTGTTATACCTCTGATCCAGTAGATCCATTACAGGAGATGAAATAAAGGGATCCAGTCTAAATATGTATATCCTGCATGATCAGGCAGCCCTCTCTAACGAAAATCGGTAGCACGGTCGTTAGATCTAATTGAATGCAGGAAGGACGCCCCTCTATGCAGTCATCGTTGTCCTGTACAGGTACAAGCCTGTGAGATGTACAAAAGGATGGCACCGTATAGTGTTGAGTGTATGAGAGAGCCACGCACTCTAATAATGTTCCGTGTCAGCGTCCGGCTGCTAGCCTGAGCGGGCCGCACCTGTTAATAACCAAACAGTAAAGTCTACATCCGTGACCGGTTCTCTCTATGTGAATGTGACACTCAAAACATGTCCTCTGTATCAGGCTGAGGTTGAGGGAGGGCCACGCCCTTTTTTTTTTTTTTTTTAATTCTTTATTTTTGAAGTGCATGGATTAACAATAGGCTTGTTCAGCCACAACAGCAGTCACAAGCAGTAATATACAGAGGAAACATAACGTGGCATATGACTATACAGCACAATTTTAGTTTTATAAAAGAAAATATAAGCAATGAGTGAGCAACGCTTGAGATGTGCTGAACATTTGTCTTTGTCACAATGGTAAATTCAGGAAGCATAAACACAGCTTGATACAGTAGTAACGTGGAGATATCAGCATATTAATTAACGTTAAGTTGTAGGTTGTAGGCGAAGTTATATTTATAAGTTTTAATCTTGCGTGTCAGTTAAGGCTATAAGTACGGGTGTTAATACTGGTTGACTTACTGACTTGATAGAAAATAATAAAGTTTGGCTAGGTTAAGTGCAATTAAATGAAAATTAGGTTAAATGTTAAAGGTAAATATATAAGGAAAGTAATATACCACCAAACAGAGAGGGACATACCATGTCCACGTTAGCATTAAAAAATAAAGGGAAATAAACAATCTGGCATTTTTTGACCTAAGCGGTCTCTGGTTAAGTTATACACAGAAGAATCACCCGTAAGGATGCTGAGGTGGATACTCAGCGTTCATTTCTTATGGTTATGTCAGCGGGGAGATCTAGCTTAACATAAATAGTGACTAATATGCGAGTTTGTACCAGAGACTACTTTTGATGGTCGAAGTACTAGGTGATGAAAAAGTGTAATAAAATACGATAAACTAGGAAGACAACAGAACTCGGGTGTGAGCAGTCCTATACACCTTAACACCTAGATTATTCCTCCCCTTTCCCCTCCTCCTCTTCTCCTTTGATAACCTATCTTTTCCCTCCCTTAAAAGTTAGTTTTTGTTATGCTATGCATCGTACATATAATTCTATAGTGCCTCATTCGCGACCACAGGTCTATGGGCACAAACAGTGTCGTATCAGGAATAAAACAATGTATATTGTTATAATTTGGCAAGGCAATATCGAATGTACTAAGAGGTGAGTGAACATTTCTGGCGTCAGATTTAACTGGTTGGTGTGAACTACAAGCTCACTATGGTGTTCGAGAGAAAATAACAAGGAAAGGGGAAACAGTTGAAGTCATAGTGCTAAATATAATGATGGGGTGGAAACGATTGGGTTGTTCAGTAGTGTGGGTTTGGGTTGTGCATGGCCGTCCCTATGCATAATATGCCTAGTGGTGGGGCAATGTCCCGGTAACTCACACAGTCCAGAATTGACCTTCAGGTCGTGGCAGCGACGGTGGGTGATTCTTCCTGTCGTCTGGGGACAAATTCAGCAGCGCTAGCTGTTTCCCAACTTGGGGGGTTCCGAGGTCTGTCCTTAGGTGCTGGCTGGGTCAATGCGTTCGGGGGGAGGCCGAGCAACCCCAGGATCATCGGTGCCTCTTGTATGCAGTGAATTTTATGCGTATCTTCGCCTTTTGTTACCATCAGGGTGTGAGCCGGGCCCCAGCGGTATGTGACATGTTTCTCACGCAGAAGTGATGTCAATTGTTGCAGGGATCTCCTCCAGGCTAAAGTGGCTCCCGAGAGGTCCGCATAAAACATTAGGTTCATGCCTTCGAAGGGGTAGGTCTGTTGGAGCCTGGCCACGGCCAGAACTGCGGATCTGTCTCTTTGGGCTTGAAACTGCAGGATCACATCACGGGTGGCTGCGTCTGGAGCTTTAGCGGGTTTTGGGATACGGAATATTTCATCCAGTATCACTGCTTTAGCATGTTTTGGGTTTAGCATTATCGTGAGGAGCCGCCGCACGAAATGGGGCAGTTCAGAGTCCGTCACAGTATCTGTTATTCCTCTGATCTTGAGATGCTTCAGCCGACGTTTATCTTCCAGCTCTGCAAACCGTAAGTCATTTTGTTTGGACAGGTTCCTCAGCGCCAGTATCTCTTGCTGTAGCTCCTTGATATGTGTGTCTTGGGCTTGCGTGGTGTGTTCCACAGCTCCAAGTCGTCCACTGAGGCCCTTCAGCGTGTCCCGAATTGAGGCCACATCCGCTGATATTTTTTTATGGTGGTCTGCCATTAATTCTCTGATGGCCTCCATGCTCACCGGGGTAGGGGTTGCGGCGGGTGGTGGGGGCTGTGTTCGATTCAGTGGGAGTTTGGGGTTGGCTTGTAGGGGCTCCCCTTCTGCTTCATCCGAAGACTCACTGTAGAAGTCTGAGCATCCGCCATGAAGGGACGCCATGTTAGGGAGAGAGGCTTCTTGGGCCTTCCGCCACAACTCGCCAATATGTGTGCCCGGGTGGAGTTTTTCGGGCTTTAACTTCTTTGTCTTTCGCCCCATCGCGTTTACCTAAACGTTTGGGTCCGTCTGGGTTGGATTTGACCCGATTGTGGGTGTTTTTAGTGGGTTTTGTCAGTTTCAGGCCTGGAGCTCAGCAATCCTGCGACCGTCCGCTTCAGTGGTTAGGCCACGCCCCCGGCCACGCCCTTTAACAACAAATCAGTGTCTGGTTCCATATATGAGAGGGGTATGCTCTCTGTTCGTGAAAACAAAATTTAATTCTCGGATCGAGGTGATGGAGGGCCGCACCCTCTTGTGATCCAAACCAGGGTCCCTTAGAGACTCAGGGTGACCAACTGCAGGGGTTTACTTATATCAGCATAAGGCTGAGATCCTGAGGTGGGTCTCTCTCTGACCATGAGACCTCTCTCTGAATCGCTCCCTGCGATGGAATCAACTGGTAATAAACCAGACCGATGGCAGATGGACTAGTATACAACCTCAGGCCGTGTCCATCCTTAATAACAGAAAGGGATGCTGCGAAAATGCAACCTTCGGAAACAATGATGGAAACTACTAACTGACCGCCCGGATCCCAATGCGCGCGCGGGGTCCAGGTTGACCGTCGGTAGCCTGAGGAAAGCTGGAGACGTTCTCCGCAATCCACTAAAGCCCGGGAGGTTGGAGGAGGTCAAGTCAGGCCTCTCGACGACCCGAGCGATAGGACAATTTGAAGGTTCAAAAACCAAGAAACGACAACTAATATAGATAACGGTAAATACGTACCTTGGAGAGAAGGTAAATAGCAGATAGAAACAGCAAGCCAAGTAAACCCAACTGAAAGGGTCAGGAGCTAAACATAACGTAGGACTAACTACCAATACCTAAGATGGATACCGGAAAGGCAGCTAAATGGTTAGTTGCTGAAGGCAAGGCAACCGTACTCCCCTGTTGGCGTCTGAGCACTGGTCCCTGCTTGTGCGAAATTCTCTTTGGAGATGTGCCGCCGCCGGGTAGGTGTAAACCGTGGTGGCGCGCCCAGGGATTCTCATATAAAAAACCTTGCCCCTCAGGGGATGAGGTTTAGGGCCTTCACCCTTCCAATCATATTGAGGTGCCCGTATACTGGTGTCCTCTTGGATAGTAAGGCAGCAGTGCTTGCCTGGACACTATCTCCATGTCAATAGTGGGTACTGGGCTTTTCTTAGTGATATCCTCCCAGAAGGGCACGGACATGGCAGGCCAATCAAATTGGCACAGACCTAGCAGGCCAATCAATGGGGCGCAGACATAGCTGGCCAATCAATGGGGCGCAGACATAGCAGGCCAATCAATGGGGCACAGATAAAGCAGGCCAGTCAAAGGGGAACAGACATAGCAGGCCAGTCAAAGGGGCACAGACATAGCAGGCCAATCAATGGGGCACAGACATAGCAGGCCAATCCTGGGTAGCGTCTAAATGGGTATTAAAGGACCCGACTGTTAGGGTAGCGTTCCCTAAATATCTGTAATTCTTCAGGGTATCCTGTGATATAGGACCCCCAGACGCCAACCCCTTTAGACAGCGTAATACTGTGTGAATAAACCTTAACTGGGACTAGCAGTCCCTAAATGCCCAGCAAGCAAAAAAGTGGTATTCCAGTGGATATAGTCTGAAAATGTTCCAGTGAATATAGTGTCCATTAAACCATGATATACTGAGCGATTCATTTTTAACTGTGAATAGGTTATGCACATGAACCTGCAGACCTGTTTGAGATTCCTTCTTCAATATTATGCCTCATCAGCATACCACCTGAAGGGTATTGTACCCGTGGTATATTTCAGGAGTAGGGCTAAACAATTGCCAACTCAATGTGTCCCCTTATTGAGTTCGGAAGGAGCCACCTTCCACTCTACTAGGCACAGAACCTGATAAAAAGAATTAGTGTCAGCATAGGCTGGTCTCCCATACCAGTTAGAGCCAGAGCTAGGTCTGCTTAGCTTAATACGCTAGCCATAGATGGTGCATATCACACTATAGCAGTCTCATCTCTGACCCAGAGATGGACCAGGAATATATATAGGGAAGCACAAGGATAGGAGCATAAGAACGCTAGATGAATAGTGCAAAGGTGTGCTCACCCCTGATCTAAAAGATCTCTGCATGAAAATGTATAGATGACTATGCCAGAATTGAACCTGTGACTTCAAACACTGATCCTGGAGTCCACTGAACTATTATTGTATAATAGCTTAGTGACAGCCAGAATACCAGCATGAGAAAAAACATTCTCGGTCCAACCGCCGTGGCTGGAGGAAGGGCCGCGCAGCAGGGTACTCGCGTCTATCCGCGAGAAACCTCATGCGCCGGCAGGTATGCACCGGAGCTCGGGGAGTCAGAGGAGACAGCCTTTTAAACGGCTAGTCTCCTGACACCCCGAGTGAAAGCGCCTGCAGCCCACGAAGGGCGCTGGAAAGTGGGGTGGGGGAAGGAGGAGGGTGAACACAAAGGGGAACAAGCTGAAGGTATCCCCAGAAACCCCCATAAGACCCCCACAATGACAGGAAAATATCCCCAAAGAAACAGGGGAAGCCCAGAAGATCCAAAAGGACATGAACCACAACTAAATATAATAAATATATAATAAAATATAAACGTATATAAGATATAAAAGAAATATAAAAAATGATAACTAAATACAATGTAGAAAGTATATAAAATATATGATATGATAACTAAGAATAATGTATATAATATATAAAATAAATATATTTATATAATATGATGATAAAATATAATGTATATAAAATATAAATAAATATATAACATGATAACTAAATATAGTAAATATAATCATAAATAAATCATAATAAATCCCAAAGCCACCAACTAGAAGCAGGAGGCAGTGGTACTCTGACCTGTACTGACTGCGGAGCAGCAAAGAAAGAGGAAATGATGCATGGGGGAGTTTTATAGTACCTAACTTTTTTCTGATTGGTTGTTTTTCTGTGCTGCTGTGGAGTTCTAGTAAAGAGAGACTTAAGCAAATACGAAGCCTTCTGTCATGTTATAAAATTGGAATTAACAGAGCAAGACTAACAATCAGGCTGAACTGCTTTCTCTGAAAAGGCAGTGTTTACATGAAAATTGCAGCAGGGACAGACTATACTCACCAGAACAACTACATTAAAGTTTGTTGTTCTGGTGACTATAGTGTCTGTTAAATGGTCTGAGTGCAGTGCCCCTGACACTTAATTCTGCAACGTTTACAGATGTCGAGTGTCATAGGAAAACATGATTCAATGCTTTGCTACCAGGAAGTAGAAATGTGTGCACTGCGCTCACCACGTATGCATATTAGATTCCCACTTCGGCGTGACATCAGAGTAGGAGGAGATAGGTCACCAGTGCTGGGATTAGGTTGGATGGATATTTGTAACACTTTTTTTTTAGGGGGGGGGGAGGAGCATTATATACTGTAGTTTTGTATTCCTAACGCTATAGTGTTCCTTTAAGTTTTTCAAAGGCCTCTAAGGCAGAGGGATTCCAGTGGCAGGCCTCAGCACCCTTCTTAATTAAAGTAGTAATAGGTGAAATGGAGAAGCCGATAAACATTGGAATAGCTGTAATGCCCTGGAGAAGGGAACAATCTGCTATGGCAGTTAGTTTTTCAGGGTCCAGTTAAATTACAGATGACATATGATATATCCTTAGAATGGAAGTTGGTCTTTTTCAAATTTGCATTTATCATGCATGAGAAATAGCACGTTTTCCAACAACGATGTGAAAATCTGACTACCCTGTAGAAAGTGAGAAATTAGATCAGCAGAAAGATCAAATGGCATGATTGTATAATGCCCACTACAAGTGTTAGAGGCCATCTTCCATATGTCTAATTCTGTCCAGATTGTAGGCTCTGCTAAGATCTAACTTAATTAAAACCTTAGATCCCTTGATCCTGTCAAACAGTTCAGTGGAAAAAAAATGGGGATAAGTGTTATAGTGTGATTGTTATCACTTCCTTAAGTATTTGGTGACATAGTCCTCCCTGGCTTTATTCTCACCAGGAGATAAATGATAAGTTCACCCTCTTGAAGGACTAGTACCTGGCAAAAGATCAATAGCTCAGTTATGAGGGCATTGGGGTGGTAATTTTTCTTCCTCCACATTCACACTAGCAGAAGTATTAGGAGATGATGGAGCAAGGAAAAAATATTTTCTAGCCTTTGCTCTTTAACTACAAGTGTGAATACAAGCATCTAACTGAGTCAAATAGGAGACTACATTTTCCAAAGTCAACCAGAAGATCTCTGGCCGCAGTCTCATCCAAAATAATATCAGAAAACCCTTATATGAAAGTAGCAAATAGAGTATTACCATTAAAACTTAGTTCTGCAGCATACATCAAGAGCTCCAGAGCGTACTCCCCCAATGGTCTAGAACATTGGATCCTTGCTACAAAATGTGATAGAGCCTTGTAGCTGTATGCCCATAGGTGTCAAAAACCTTATACAACAATTCCACAAACTGAGGGCAATTGGTAACAATGGGCAGGTTGTTTTCCCACAAGGGGTTAGCCTAAGTCATGGCTTTACCTGTCACTTGGCAAATAATGTCCGTCTTGGATCTGTCATAAAGGAAAGCATGTGTGGATAATTTGAAAGAGTTTTCTAATTGCTACCTTCATGCTAGGGAGATCAGGAGAGTACTGCGACTTGAGAGTCAACAGGAGGAGGTTTTATAATGTTACAATTCCAGGAAGATCCTCAGCAAAATATAGGTCAGAACCTAATAGAGCATGCAGTGAGAAAGGATAGCAAGATGTATTACTGGACCTTAGAGTGGCCTGGCTTAACACTTCGATAGATATAGAAAGTGATAAAACTAGAATAAGCAATAACCAGGATAAACTGCTAGAAATCAGGGCCAGGTCAAGTCAAGAACAACCTGAAAAAGTACAATCTGGATGTAGGCAAAACCAAAGTCAAAGAATAAGCTGTGTGAGGGATACCAGAAAGCCAACACAAGTCAAGGAACTAGCTGTCAGAACCAAAATAGTCAGAACCTACAGGATCACGTGCGTAATCAGGTCCTGATATCATCACTCATCGCCATTTGGAGATCATCGTCATTTGCAGATGCACGCTTACCATAGACACTGCAACCATGCTAATAAAAAGTCCATAAAAGATACCAGTGTCACAATCCATGGTATTCTAGGAGTAGAGGGTTTTAAAATGCTGTGGCCGAAGGCAGAAAGAGGCAAAGGTGCATCCAAAAGGAACCAAGTGCAGCAATAGTGATAAAATGGCCTAGAAAAGAGAAAATCTAAATGCCCTAATAATTTTTGTTTGCAATGGCAACATTTCTCTATGTCCCTTTTGAGGTATTTTTGACATAAGGGCATTTATAAATATATATATTTTTTTATAAATAGACAAAGAGGAGCTGACATAAGGGCATTTATAAATATATATATTTTTTTTACAAATGGACAAAGAGGAGCTGCTATGCTAACATAACCCATGACCAAGAAGGGAAAATCACTGCAGTGTGCATCAATTACCTTTTATATGAATTCGCTATCCTAGTATATGTATTTGCTTTATTTACAGAATTGGAGGCATTTTCATATACTGCACCATTTAAATTAACATTGTTTATAAGTTATACATTGCTATAGATACTTCAGTTTGTGAATGAGCATATTACACAAATTGGGTAAACACTTACACAAACACACAAGACTGGTTTTAAGTGGAATTCTATGAAGTTCCTACCTCCTCACACACCTCCCGAACTGCTGCTGCACTAGGCTCTTCCCCTGGTTCCAGTCCACCTCCTGGTACAATCCATTGGTCTGGATACCTGCTGCTGCTGACCAGCAGTACCTGTGAAATCAAGGTAAAATAATTGGTGATAACTATATCTGTACAATTCAGTAATAAAATGTCCTAGTATATATGGAATGGCCAATAATTAACTGATTTCATGTGAAGAATGCATGCTTAGCATTCTAGAGAGAGCAAGTCATTATAATTTTACAGGATTATTCACTTAAATGAGAACTCTAAGTGAATATTACATTTAAGGTCAAAATAGCAAACTGGAAACATACTCCGCTACTCTGGCCTTAAATGTGAAATTCTTTTAGAATTTCCACTTTAGTAAATAATCCTGTCAGAGAAAACTGTAATTAGAATTGCAGAAAGCGTTAAGTGAAAACAACCTATTAATTTAAGTACCATTGACCCATATAAAATTAAAATAGCCCGAGGAACACTAGACTTCAAATAATAAAGAAATAGATTTTGTATTGGATTATAAAATATAGACATTATTACATAAAAAGCATGTATGATGGAGGGGGCGGTGCTTGCCAGCGAGACGAAGCAGACGCCGTTTTTCTCAGGTCCCAACAGCTCCGACTAAATCTGCGGATTATCTCCTAATTCAGGGACTATCCACTTGGAGCAAACCCTACTTTTGCTGCAGAACGGGCTCCTGCACCCACCAATGCCCTTCTTTCCGCTACTGAAGGTTGCAAAAGTGAAACGCAGGCCGGGGGTGTACCGAGCACCAGTATATCCTAGCTTGGAGTAGCTATTTAGAGGATCACCTCCTTACAGCATTACAGACGGAACAGCACAGTTCCAGCCAGCACATCTACTATGAGGTGCAAATCGCAAAAGCTCTCACCTGGAGCAGCTCCTGAAACACGATACATCAGCTCCATGCTTCAAAGGTAGGTTCAGCCCAAAATTGCAGCCGAGGAGAGTGCAAGTATGTCAGCCCCCTCGGACCCGCCAGATCGTGTTTGGACTTATTCTTCCCAGGAGCAAGATCTAGCAGTCTCCACACTCATTAACTCTCTAGCTGGGACCCACTAAGCCACTAAACAAGACATTCAGGTCTTCGTGCTAGACATTAAAATTCATGGTATACCAACTGAAATCACAACAGAGGAAATACCTCACTATTTAGGATGCCTCATCACCACAGTACTACCCTCTTAGGTAGCTAGAAGTTTTGTCATGGATGGGGCATACAGACTAGACATGTGCAATTCGTTTCGGTCCGAATTAAAATTCGGCCAAATTTCGGGTAATTCGGAAATTCGGGTGCTTCCAAAGACCTTTCCCACGCTGTGTAAAATGACACAGAGCACTCTGATTGGTGGATTTCAAGTCAACCAATCAGAGTGCTGTGACAGGTAAATGTAGAGACTTACCTGTCAGTCTCTTCATTTACCTGTCAGAGCACTCTGATTGGATGGCTTAAACCCACCAATCAGAGTGCTCTGCGCCTAATTGCAGGGCGGGGCAAGGCTTTATAAGCCTTACCCGCTCTGCAGAGCTAAGTCTGCGCAGAGCCCTCGCCAAGTGAAGATGGATTTTTTAATTGCGTCGTTTATTATGGATTTTTATTTGGCCTTTTTTGGGGCGGAAAAAAGAAGATTTTAGAAGAAAGAAAGGTAAGTTTGTGTTTATTTTTACAGGTACTTAGTTAAAGGTCCCCCCTCATTATTTTTAGGGTGAGGGGGGTAGGTAGGAGTTTATTTTTTGGGGGAGGGGGTGACTAGGGGTTTGGGGACCCCTAGTCACCTGGGGGGGTTAAATTTTTATTTAGGGCCCCCACCCACCGCACAATAGGTCCTCCCCCCGTTTTTTACTTTAGGACCCCACCCGCCGCTCAGGGAGCCCTTTTTTTTTATTTTTTTTTAACAGTGAGCAGCCACAGGCTGCTCACTGTTTAATAGACATACCCCTACTCGCAGTACAGCAAGTAGGGGCACAATTTACTAATACTAAGTAATTTTTACTTAGTATTAGTAAATTTGGCTGAAAGGCCAATTTAGGTCTTTCAGCCTTTTGGTAGATAACTCCCTAATACCATGGGAATTAGGGAGTTATCTACCAAGCAGCTGCAAGAAAAGTCCCGAAATGCCGGAGTTCCGAAGTTGCCAAACTTCTGAAGTGTCTAAGATCCGAATTGCCGAAGTTGCCAAAGTGCCGAAGTGTTCAAGTGCTGAAGTTGCCGAAGTGCCGAAGTCCCGAATTTCGGAATGCCGAATATTTTCCTCATGCACATGCCTAATACAGACTCCCTGCACAACCTAGCCTCTCGCCACTACACCACGTGATGTAATTCCCCGCTGTACATCCACACAAGATAAGGGACAGCTCTTGGCTGCACTGAGGGGCAAAACACAATTCCCATTTGAGAACTCACACTCTTGTCTTTTTACCAAGACCTGACAAGGGATACCCTGCAATGGCGTAAGTCCCTTCGCACCCTCATGCTCCAGTTATGCTCTGCTGGCTTTGCCTACAGATGGGGAGACACCACGATCTCTGCTGACAAATAGTGGGACAGTGCTAAAACTTAGCTCAGTATCAGAGGCACTGAATTTGCTGATGGCTTTGGGACTTTCAATGTCTGCACCTACTTCAACCAACCAGGTGACATCAAGTGTTTGGGACCCTGCAAACATAGTATCCTTTGTTCCAAGAACTGGAGAAGAAACCTCACTGACCACCTGACTACTCTTGGTGTTCCCGATGATCATTAATCGGATGTCTGCTCAATGTTGTTTTCTTTGTTTTGTATGGGGTTTTTTTCAGCTCTTGCGCTTATTTTTATGTACCATTGCTCAATAGCCCAACCGACTAAATTCCAACGATACCTGACCTACACTCATGAAACTCCTGGAGTACTGCAGACGGCTAGTTCCAATGAGCATCCACTGGACCATATGTAATTGTGGCAAGCACCCTTATTTTCCCCCCCTCTACCCCATGTCACTTCCTTGGTTGGGGTACTCTCATATGAGACAAGCTCAAATGCCTGAGCCCCTAGCTACACTCAACTATGTGACTACCCTGATAGTTCAGCACACCAATTTTATAACAAGACACGGAGGCTCATATGGCATATCCCTTTCTTTACTGTCCACCAATAGCAGCAAAGAATACAAACAGAATGAAAATATAATGAACATACAGTAACATAGGCCCCTCCCCGCTCAGGTCCCAGTAGAATAGGCAGCACTTTCCTTCAATTTCCCTCTTTCTTTGCTGCTCTGATACAAAGATAAGTACACATCTTCTCTCTGATTTACTTGTTTATTACCTGCTATTGATATTATTATCGATATCCTTGTATTACACCGTATAGGTTTATCTGATATTGATTCTTGTATTGTCTTCTATTTTATTAGAGATTTTTTATTATTAGTTTTTTCTGCTTGTTTGATGCTACACATCCGTGTGTTTTTTCTGTGAACCCAGGGTCCAGACCTCCCCTGTTATATTTTTGTTTATTACCCCCCTTTTCACTTGACCCTGTCCTTGTGATTTTCCTTATCTCCGTCTTGCTGTTACCTCTCCCTGTCCCTTTGGCGTCCTTTTGCGCCCGTTCTCTGCTTTGTTCGGCTGTTTTTCGTTCACGAATTAAGCCCGTTCGGCTGATTCATCACGAACACATGCTGTTCGCTTTTTTCCTGGCAGATAGCACCATTCGCCTGTTTGCCGCATTCGACTAATTTTTGCACGAACTGCTCGTTCGTTTGCTTTTTCTCCTCTTTCTTATATCAGTCTATTTCCACGAATTCGTTTCTTTTCTGCCGAACGTTAGGTTCTTTAACTTAGCGAATTTCACAGTATTTTGCTGCGAATGTTGCGAGATTGCCGGCGGCCATTTTCTGACTTCCTGTCTTCCTCCCTACCTTGTGTGTGCATGTGCCACTGGTCTGGGCCCTGGTGAGATCTCTCTTATACTTATTGCTTTTAGTTTTGGGTGACTAACCCATACTATTCTGATAATCTAATTAGGGATTAGGTCCTCTTTTATTCTCCATTATGCCTAAACCCAGACTACCTTTTGGATCCCTACCGTCTGGGGAGACTGATGCCCCATTTAATTTGGGTGAGACCCCTGTCACCTCGGGCACTCCACCCACCCTGGTAGACAGAACCATCCACCCTGAAGGGGCACAATTCTAGCGCTACAGTGCTCAGTGACAGACGCCATTATGGCAGCCATGGGGTCCATGTCATCTACCCTCTCCCACACTATTGCCACGTCCTTCGGATGAGCATTTCTCGGGCTCCACAACACCACTATCGCGTCCTGCTGTGGACCCGCCGGGAGAGGCACCCAGAAAGGCTACCCATAAGTCTAAACATCCCTCTGCCTCCAGAAATTCTATGACTGGCGTACCTACGGTTGCCCCAGAAAGCGTGTCCCATCCAAGCAAAAGAGCCTTTCCACGCCAGGCAGAACGGGCGCGGCTATGGAAATGTGCCAGAGCACAGTTAGAGAGCAACTCCGACTCAGATATCAGGTCAGGTGAGGAGGCTAAGATTGAGTAGGACAGTGACTCTGATATGGATGCCGCAGATGTGGGCTTTGACCTCCTTCCCTCTGCTCAGGCAGAGACGACCGGAGGCGATACAGGGACTAGGCACCCCGCAGCTGCGGGGTCCGCCCTCGTGGATCCGTTGGGTGTCCCATTCTTCGACCCGGATGACCTACACCATCCGAGGTCGGCAGAGTGGCTCCTGGCCGACCACGTTGCCACGTACCTTGAGAATTGGGTACGGCGCCCTCTTAGAAAAGCGGCACGTAACAAATTGAGGGCGGAGTGACCCAGGCCTGTGGTGCCCAATAAAGTATGTGACACTCCTGAGGTAGACCCCAAAATGACTCAGTTCCTCACTAAACTGGGCTGGAACCCCGTAAAGGGTAAGACTCTGCCTTGAAATCTTGCCAGGATAAACACCTGGATATTTTCGGTCCCCTGGCCAAATTGTTTGACTTGGCGGAAGACGCCAGAGCGGGGAACCGCATGGTTGACCCTGAAGACCTACGTGGTTGGGTCCAGAGAGCAATTTGTATTGCCGGGAGCGTGAACACCTCCCTCTCTATAGAACGGCGTAAAGCTATCTTGTTTAAGATTGAACCAAAGCTGGCCAATCTTGCCCTCACAGAAGCTGGTAAAGACGCCCAAGGCTTACTCTTCGGCGATTCCTTTATTAAAGACTTAGGGCGTTTCGTTGGGGCATTTACAGCCCTTGACAAGGCCCAAGCCTCCATGAGACGGGTATTCAAGGGGCGGGTCTCCACCAGGGCCAGCAGATTCAGGAGCCGTCTGTCCGGCCGTACCTACTTCCAATCCCATGCCTTCCAGCAACGTGCTAACTACCAGGAGACTAATACTTTCTTCCCGTCACATGGACGCCAGTGGCGATCCAGAGGTTTCCAGGGCAACTCCAGTTCCAGACGACCTTACGGTGAGTTCTCACTACGGGATCGCAGATTGATCGATAAAGAACTCTCCAACCTCCTTGTCAAAGGGGCAATAGAACAGGCACCTCACAACCCTGCAGGTGTCATAAGCAACATTTTCCTGGTGGAAAAGAAAGGCGGACAAATGAGACCCGTCATAAATCTGCGCCCCCTCAATGCCATGGTTCGGTACTGCCATTTCAAGATGGAGGGTATTTACCTGCGATGAGATCTTCTCCTACATGGAGACTGGTTAGCAAAGCTAGATCTCAAAGGCGCATACCTGACTGTACTGATTGCGGTGATGTCCCGAGACCCCCTGTGCTTCCACTGGCGGCACAAGATTTGGCGATTTACCTGCCTGCCCTTTGGCCTCTCCTCAGCACCGTGGTGCTTCACGAAACTGCTGCAACCAGCGATGGCCTGGTTGCGCAGTCGGGGGGTTCGTCTAATCATATACCTAGACGATATCCTACTCATGGCTCAAGAGCGCTCCACTCTCCTTACACACCTACGGTTGGCCATAAACCACCTTTCCCGCTTGGGATTCATTATCAACTGGGAAAAGTTGTGCCTAACCCCCGCCACTCACATGGAATTCCTAGGGTTCCTCGTGGACTCGGGGGAGACGACGCTGTGCCTGCCAATTACCAAGATTCGATCTATCCGCAAAGAGCTTCGCAGAGCCATCATCCGGCCCCAGCTCACCTTGCACGGCTCATCGGCCTACTGGCCTCATCTATACAGGCAATATTTCCGGGCCCGCTCCACTACCGAGCGCTGCGGCGCCTGAAAATAGCGCACCTAAGGGCCGGTGCATCCTACGCGGATCTGGTGTCCCTGAACAGCGAAACGAATGACGAATTATGATGGTGGATCAACCTGTACGTATGGAACGGCAAAGCGATCTTCGGCTTGCTGCCAGAATTCACCATCGACTCCGATGCGAGCCTCCATGGCTGGGGGGCCGGTTGCGAGGGAGTTTCCACAGGAGGCCGCTGGTCGGAATCCGAATCCCAGCTACACATCAACGCGCTGGAGCTCCTGGCAGGCTCCATCACCATTCGCAGTTTCACGAGGGACTGGGCCCTGCATGTATCCGCCTCCGCATGGACAATGTCTCAACAGTGAGATATGTCAACCACCTGGGCGGTACACAGTCTGCAGTCTTGGCCAGATTGGCGAAAGACTTTTGGGAGTTTTGCCTGGAACAGAACCTGATGGTTTACGCGGAATACTTACCTGGCCTGCACAACGTTCAAGCGGACTGGGGGTCATGATATCTTTCGGACTGGAGATTGGACACGGACGTGTTCTCCAGTATATCATCTCTCTGGGGTCCCTTTGCCATCGACCTCTTCGCATCCCGGCTCAACACTCAACTGTCACGTTTCTTCAGCTGGAGGCCAGATCGGACAGCAGAGGCAGTAGACGCCTTCCTGCATTCTCCATGATTCCATGCTCACTCCTGCAAACCCGCAGACACCGGGCCGAGTTGGTCATGGTGACCCCCTTCTGGGAGATGCAGTCATGGTTCCCTCAAATGCTCGAGATGACAATGGACTATCCCCGACTACTGCCGTCGTTTCACGAACTGCTGCTGGACCCGATGGGACGATGTCACCCCCTCCTGTTGGAAAGCTCCCTTCCGCTCCTGGCGTGGCGGATCTCTGGGGACCCTGGGAGATCCAGGGAGTTTCAGAAACAACTAGACGACTTTTGGCAGAAGCTTGGGCTCCCGGCAGTAGACGGGTATATGGGTCAGTTTGGCGAGCTTGGGCTGGTTGGTGCCTGGCTAGGGACGCGGATCCTGTTTCAGCTCCTGTAACCATGGTCCTGCAATTTCTGACTTCCCTCTTTGAAGCGGGGAAAGCTTACCGGACTATCAATCTCTACCGGTCTGCCATCTCTTCGACTCATCAAGGCTTTGACGATGTCCCGCGGGGCAACACCCCTTAGTGTATCGACTCCTCAAGGGCTCTCAATTCTCCCGACCACCTGGGATTTCTCAGTTGTGTTGTCTTTTCTCTCATCCTGGCCCGCTAACTCCGCACTCTCCTTAAAACAATTATCAGCCAAGTTAGTTTGCCTGCTCTGCCTTGTCTCCTGCAAGAGGGTCTCGGACGTCAGAGCTCTGGACTTTGACACCAGATCATACACCCCAGATGGGGTAACGTTCAACATCAGTCGACGAACAAAAACGTCTATCAAATCGGTGTCCTACCCGAGTTTCCAGTGTATGTATGTATGCCAGTGTATGTGTTTGCCAGTGTATGTATGTATGCCAGTGTATGTATGCCTATAATATTGATAAATACCAGGTAGAAAAATACAGGAACAAGAAACCTTTATTTGCATAAATAGCATAAAATGGAATCTCCAAATATATTTCACTTCATTTTATGCTATTTCTGCAAATAAAGGTGTTTTGTTCCTGTATTTTTCTACCTGGTATTTATCAATATTATACAAGGGGAAATCTTTCCAGTGAACATCCTGACCTGTTTTCCAGCATTGCGGTCTCCAGAATATTTTAAAAGGCGCTTGTAGTCTGAGCCACTCTCTACAGCTCAGTACCACGTGAGTGGGCAATTTTATATTTAAGTAGATTTGTTTATTACATACAGGCTATAGTATGCTTTGTATTTTATATTTCTAGGACATTTATCTAGAAAAGCTCAAGATTAATGGTATCATTGCATGTTTTAATCCTGTGTGTTTTATACTTGGTATATACAATTTGCTCTCACCATGCTATTTATCTCATTCTGTTATATATTCTCTGTGTGATTTGGAGTGACTCACACTTGGTGATTTCAAGCATTTTTTATCAATATTTTTCCTTTCTTTTATTGTGTTTTATATGATTTTGCTATTACATGATGAAAAGTCATGATTTTATTAAAGACACAGAGGCGACTATTGTCCCACCCATGTTATATTTCTCATGTTATGTTTTTATTTCCCACCCAGTTTATTGTATGTTTAGACAAGATACATCGAATGGTTTGGTATGGTAAGTGGGGACTGTGTCGTAACGGGGTTGATTATGTACCTTGACTTGTTTTAATCACTATGAATTGTGGGACTGCAGATATATGTGGGGCTTTGCATCGTCTGGCCTTGAAATTGGTTGCAAGTATCGACTTTAACCTGTGGGCTCCTGTTCCTTTATGTTTTCACAGCCTGATCCGACCCGGTGGAATGCCATGCTTCAGCTTGTGAGGACTCCCCCCGCTGATAGAGTTTGGTTCTACGATCATCCATTTGTGCTTCCCTGTTGTTTAAGTGTTATCCTCTTCTTGGCGAAAAAGTTCTGCGTTGTCTCCTCATTGGACATTATCGCTGTTCTTGGTTATTGACGTTATTTTGTAGTGTTGCATCTTCAGAAAGAGAGAAATGGAAGGGAAATACTGGAACCTGAGCGGCGAGGGGCCTATGTTACTGTATGTTCATTATTTTTTCATTCTGTTTGTATTCTTTGCTGCTATTGGTCGTCATGTAATAGCAAAATCATGCAATTTCTGGCTATCCCTCTTATACCTTACTACATGTTTAGAATTTGCTCGTGTGCTTCTTAACTGCTAGTAAGCTAACTGACTCAGCATCTGCCCAGAACCTCAACAAGACTGTCCTGTTTTCAACCCATATCTTGAGTTCTTTTAGACTATCTATTGTTAGGTTTTAAAATGGTGCTGATTATCTGACATAATGTTATCTTTGATGATATCTCTGTGTTACTGTATAATCCGCTATCTTTACGTAACATTGACAACTTTATGAACATCAAGTATCACCAAAAATAAAAATGTCACAAAAAAAAGTAATCATGCACATTTTATAATTTTTACATTGTTTAGTGCTTAGCAACAAAAACAGAATATGAGAACTCTAAGAACTGAAAAAAGCTTAGAGAAACTGAGTAGCTTGACCTTCAGTAAATCCCCGCTAAGGCCTCAAAATATTTTTTGCTCACTTGTGCCATTACAGAGAGAACATATTCCATAGCATATAAGACTGATCCCACCCGTGAGGACAGTCCTGAAGCAAAATGACAGCAAGTTCTCTCTGCATCAGAGCTACAGCCAGTGGTGTATCCTGGTTTTGTGCTGCCCTAGGCAGGACAAAACGCAGGCGCCCCTCCCCTCCCCCCGCGCCAACCCCCCCTGCACCAACCCCCCCCCGCCTTCTAAATACACACACACACATTCACTGACAGATATGCATACACTCGCTAACAGAAACACACACACACACTAACAGACACACTCACACTCACTAACAGACATACACTCACTAACACACACACACTCACAGGCAAACACACTCACAGGCAAACACACTCACACAGTCAGACACACACACACTCACTGACACACTAACAGACAAACATAGTCAGACACACACAAACAGACACACTCACTCACTAGCAGACACACACACACACACACTAACAAACACACACACATTAACAGACACACACACACACAGGCAAACACACACTCACTGACACACAGTCAGACACACACACATACACACTAACAGACACAGTCAGACACACACTAACAAAACACACACACATTAACAGACACTCACTCACTCACTCACATTAACACATTTTTTTATTTATTTTTATTTAGCCCCCCCCCTTACCTTTGGGAGTGCTGGGGGGGAGGGGTTCATTACCTCCCTGGTGGTCCAGTGGATGCCGGCTGGGCTAGGCAGGCGGCTGGCGAGGGAGCTCTTCCCCTGAGCGGTCTGCTCAGCTCCCTCGCGCGCCGCAAAGTGAGGCTGGGAGCCAGAAGATGACGTCATCTTCCGGTTCCCAGCCTCACTCTGCGGCGCGCGAGGGAGCTGAGCGGACCGCTCAGGGGAAGAGCTCCCTCGCCAGCCGCCTGCCCAGCGCCGCCCGCCAGCCCAGCCGGTCAGTTAGCCGTGAGGCTAACAAAGCATTTGCCTGGGCATTTGGGGGGCGGCTTTTTTGCCGCCCCCTGAAAAATGCCGCCCAAGGCAAATGCCTTGTTTGCCTCGCGGCTAAAACGCCCCTGGCTACAGCAACCCCAGACAATTGTTTCAACCCCTTTTTAACTTGGGGAGAATCAAGTTAATGCATTGCAGCAAAAACAGATATATGCTTATTCTGGAAGACAGCCACTAGAGGTGGATGCTAACCCTCAAAGGTAATTATTGAAGTTTATAAAAAAACTGCAATAATTACCTATGCAGGGTTAAGGGACCTGCGACTATGCACCCAAACCACTTCAATGAGCTGAAGTGGTCTGGGTGCCCTATAGTGTCCCTTTAAAAATGGTTAAATGCTAAATGGAAAGACAACACCAGGGGACTTTAGACACTATAATCGCTTCAATAAGATGAAGCAGTTACAGTGTCTAAAGAGTCCATTAAAAAAGAAAAATAATACACAAATCAATGGAATAACAATAACAGGGCCGCCATCAGGGCATGACAACCGTGACAATTGTCACGAGCCCGGCGGTCCAGGGGGGCCCGGCCGCCCAGGCCCCACGTGTATCAGCAGGACTGCCGCCGGTGCATCTGCACCGGGGCCCACACGCTAATGGGGGCCCACCAGGTGGCCCAAGCATTTAGGGCCACCCAATGGGCTCTATTATCTTCAGGGGCCTGGCCAGCGCTGTAATAGCGGAAAATGCAGCCGGAAGCAAGTGCTGCTGGGAGGAAGTGACGTCCGGTCACTTCCTCCCACTTTACTCTGCGCGGGAAGGCAGAGAGAAAGGCCGTGAGGAGAGGCAGCCGACAGTCACCCTCCTGCGACGAAATGGTAAGGAAGAGAGGAGGGTGGCTGAAAATGAGGTGTATGTATGCCAGTGTATGTGTTTGCCAGTGTATGTATGTATGCCAGTGTATGTGTTTGCTAGGGTATCTATGTATGCAAGTGTATGTATGTATGCCAGTGTATGTGTGTATGCCAGTGTATGTATGTATGCCAGTGTATATATGTATGCCAGTGTATGTGTATGCCAGTGTGTGTGTGTGTATGCCAGTGTATATATAGAAATGTATTACCCTTTGTACAGATGGATACAAAACAAAGCTGGCTATAAATCTTCCAAAACGCTATCTGACTATGCAACTGATGGACATTATTTTTTAAAATGATGTTATATTTGTATTCCTAGACCCAGCAGCTGATATACCAAAGTGCCAAGATGCCATGTCCATTGTTTAACTGCTGGAGTTAACCCTGCTGATCATAGGAGGTATCTTTCCGCTCCTCACTCAGAGAAAGCATTGGCTGGTAGGTTATTTCGGAGACTGTAAATATGTATGTATGCCAGTGTATGTATGCCAGTGTGTGTGTGTATGTATGTATGCCTGTCAGTAAGTATGTATGTATGTATATATCAGTATGCAGTATGTATATATATATATATATATATATATATATATATGTTTGTCAGTATGTATGTCTGCATGGTTGTGTCAGTATCTCCCTATGCATGTGTGTATGTCTGTTTCAGTATTTGTATCTGTTAGTGTGGGCGGGATTTGGAGGTGGGCCCTGTGGGCGGGCTTGAAGGGGGGCCCAGACCTTGAGCTGTGTTAGGGGCCCCAAAATTTCTGATGGCGGCCCTGAACAATAATACCACCCAGAGTCCTGAGAAATAATTCTTGTATACCACCATAAGAGTCAAAAGTCTGCAGACAAGGGTGTAGTTTGACCACTTGAATAATTATTTATTTATATGCCACTTACAAATTCTAAAATACTGTATAAAATTAAATGACAAAGTGGTGAGCAGTTTCAGGTCCTGTTGAACCCAATATCACTGGAAGAGACAAAATACCTCCCAACATTTAAAAAAAAAGCCAAAGCAAAACACTATTTGTTTCAGGTTTGTGTCCTGAGATTGGGTATGGTGTGGGGCTCATGCAGAATTAAACTGCGATTTTAGATGTTCACTGGAAAGTGAGGAATATATATTAATATAAGGACAAAGTCACCACGGAGTATAAAAGAAAAAAATCCCCCAGCCCTTAGGTGACAAGTTTAAAACTAAGGGAATTACCCACTAAATATTGCTCTAAAAACTGGTATAAAAAGGTCACCAAAAACCTATCCAATATTACAATAACACGATCACAAGATAAAATCTTGAGTGACACCAAGAACAAATATCCAGGTAAAGAGGAGAGGGAAAAAGGGTCTGAGTGTGGACAATGTAAATGTCACGAGTAGCAAAGTCTCTTAGTGTCCCTTGGTCATCGCTTCTCTAATCCTCCGCTGGTCCTGGATTCAGCTACAGCATACAGTGATTATAGCCCTCTGGAACCTTGTAAAATTCCCTAATATAGTGGACAAGACTATGTCGTATTGGGTAAAACAAGAGAACTGTTTATTTCAGGGACAACCAGGTCTGTATTCCCCTACACACAATAGGGGGTCTTCAGCCAGAACAATGCAAACCACTCCCTGGTGTATTGGTGTCTGGGACATAATTGAGTGAGGACACAATCATTAAATTATCTGCCCAGCACCAAGACACATTGCACAATAACTGTTACATAATATATTTAACTCAATAGCTTTCATTCATCTCAACATTTTACTAAATACCATGAAGGTACTCTATAAGGTCAGAATACAAACATGTATTCTGGACCCTATAGTGTTAAACCCATCATTTCGGTGGCTTGCCTCCCCCCTTCAGCACCCTTAAAAACAATTAAAACTGGCCTTATTTCCAGCGCCGTGCAGGTTTGCCGGTGCTGGCCCCGCCCCTGATCCGCCTCCTTGATGACATCAGAATTGCAGCTTTTTAGGCACTCCAATGCTTTCCCACTTGGAGAATAGGGGCAATGTAAACACTGCCTTTTCTTTGAAAAGGCAGTGTTTGCATGAAAATGCCTGAAGGCAATGATTATACTCACCAGAACAACTACATTAAGCTGTAGTTGTTGTGGTGACTATAGTGTCCCTTTAACTATTGTCACCTGTACTATATCGGAACTTTGCCGTGTTGTTGTCACGGCAATGCTCTGATACATTTCCCAGCACCAACCATAAGGAGCAATCTGCACCTACTGGCTGTGCAGACATGCTACATTCCCACTGGACCACAAGGGCAGGGCCGCCATCAGAAATTTTAGGGCCCCTGACACAGCTCAAGATCTGGGCCAGCCCCGAAACCGCCCACAAGGATGAAGTGTGTGTGTGTGTGTGTGTGTATATGTATAGTGGATGTAGAATGAGTGTCATGGATGCAGTGTGTATAGTGGATGCAGATTGTACGTTTTGTGTAATGTATGTAATGTTTCTATGCATGCATTAGATGTAGAGTGTGTGTGTAGTGAATGTAGGTGTGTGTATAGTGAATGCAGAGTGCGTTTTTGTAGTGGATGTAGTATGTGCACAGTGAATGGAGAGTGTGTGTACAGTGAATTCAGTGTGTATTTTTGTAGTGGATGTAGTTTGTTTGTAGTGAGTGCAAAGTGTGATTGTGGTGAATGCAATATGTGTATAGTGAATGTAGTGTGTTTGCAGCGAGTGCAAAGTATGTATAGTGATTGTAGTGAGTGCAAAATGTGTATAGTTCATGTAGTGTGATTGTAGTGAGTGCAAAATGTGTATAGTTCGTGTAGTGTGATTGTAGTGAGTGCAAAATGTGTATAGTTTGTGTAGTGTGATTGTAGTGAGTGCAAAATGTGTATAGTTTGTGTAGTGTAATTGTAGTGAGTGCAAAATGTGTATAGTTTGTGTAGTGTGATTGTAGTGAGTGCAAAATGTGTATAGTTTGTGTAGTGTGATTGTAGTGAGTGCAAAATGTGTATAGTTTGTGTAGTGTGATTGTAGTGAGTGCAAAATGTGTGTAGTTTGTGTAGTGTGATTGTAGTGAGTGCAAAATGTATATAGTTCATGTAGTGTGATTGTAGTGAGTGCAAAATGTGTATAGTTCGTGTAGTGTGATTGTAGTGAGTGCAAAATGTGTATAGTTCGTGTAGTGTGGTTGTAGTGAATACAAAATGTGTATAGTTCATGTAGTGAATGCAAAATGTGTATGGTGAATGTAGTGTGATTGTGGTGAATGCAAAATGTGTATGGTGAATGTAGTGTGATTGTGGTGTTTGTAGTGAGTGCAACGTGTGTATAGTGAATGTAGTGTGTGTAGTGCAGTGTGTTTAGTGAATGTAGTGTGTGTAGTGCAGAGTGTGTTTAGTGAATGTGGTGAGTGTGTTTAGTGCATAGTGTGTTTAGTGAATGTAGTGTGTGTGTAGTGCACAGTGTGTTTAGTAAATGAAGTGTGTGTAGTGCAGTGTGTTTAGTGAATGTAGTGTGTGTGTAGTGCAGAGTGTGTTCAGTGAATGTAGTGTGTGTGTAGTGCAGAGTGTGTTCAGTGAATGTAGTGTGTGTGTAGTGCAGTGTGTTTAGTAAATTAAGTGTGTGTGTAGTGCAGAGTGTGTTTAGTGAACGTAGTGTGTGTGTAGTGCAGAGTGTGTTTAGTGAATGTAGTGTGTGTAGTGCAGAGTGTGTTCAGTGAATGTAGTGTGTGTGTTTAGTGAATGTAGTGTGTGTGTGCTTGTAAGGATGCAGTGTTTGTGTAAAGTAGGGGGGAGGGGAGTATTTAAAAATATATATATATATATATATATATTTGTGTATATTTAAAATGTAAATTTTATCCCCCACCCCCCCCCCGGTTCTTACCTTGCCAGGGAGGGGGGATATCGCATTGCTTGGTGGTCCGGTGGAGAGAGCCAGCCGCATTACATTGCAGAAGGGGGCCCAGCAGCACACACTGCCTTCCTTTCCAGTTCGTCAATGATGAACTCTCGCGAGACCGGCCTGCGTGCTGTGCGGAGCGTTGCCATGGTAACCCGTGGCAACGCTCTGGCGGCCGCAGGAGAGTTAGAAAGAGAGGAGCTGGAAGGAGGACAGAGTGTGCTGCTGGGCCCCACTCTGCAATTTACCGGTAAGGGGACCCTCAGTGTACAGATATCTAGCGAAATTCGCTATATATCTGTGCACATAAGGAATGTGGGGCTCAGACTGCCAGAGCATTCTGGCCCCCCCAGGACCGCCGGGCCCATGACAACCATTATAGTTATCATGCCCTGATGGCGGCCCTGCACAAGGGAACCGGAATCCCCACTCCCTGGTCTAAAATAAGCCTCAAGGAGGGGTGTGAGAAACATTTATACAGCCCCTGTCAGTGTCACCCAGTATAGTCCGTCATCCAACTATAGTCCCTGTCAATCCACCACATCCCCTGTCACTAGACTACAACCCGTCATCCCACCATAGTACAAAATGCATGACTTTGTATTTATCTGTATTGAAAATCATCTGCCACTTGCCTGCCCAGTCCCTCAATTTATCTAAATCCCTCTGTAGATAAGTTATTTCTTGTTCAGACTATTTTCTTACCTAGTTTTGAATCATCTGCAAACGCTGACACAAGATCACTTAGAAATAGGTTAAAGAAAAGCGAACCCAGGAAAGAACCCTGAGACACTCCGCTTACCCGTTTTGCCCAATCTGAAAACTTTCAATTTACAATTGCTGCAGGAAAAGAAAATGCAGGAACTTTAAAAGGACTACTTCGCACCCATAAAGAACTTGAGCTTGCTGAAGTGCTTAATGGATAAAGAGTATCCCATTTCAAAGGCACTTTAATATTTATAATAAAAATTACAGATTAAAAAAAAAAAAATGTTATAATAAAAATTAAATGCCCCCTGGCCATGGAGGTTCTTCCTGCTTCTTTTAGCTACGCTTAGCTAACGGAACGGAAGTGGCAGGCACGCTCAAGTAGAGTGCACCTGCCTTCCCTTTGCATACGTACTTCTCAAATCTAAGATCAGAATGCTGTAAAAGTGCATGCACGTGCCAACCCTCAATGAGATTATTTCCCCATGAACAGATTATTAGTCTTGCAAGTAACCAATCAGGCAAGACTTAAGATTTACCTATCAGAGCACTCTTATCGGTTGGCCTAAACCAACCAATCAGAGAACTCTGAGTCAAATTGCAGGGCGTGGGAAGACTTTATAATATATTTTCGGCTTGTTTTTTTTTGTTTTGTGCTTGAGTTTTTATTTTATTTTATAAGTTTGATGGGAATTGTCATTTAGTGCCCCCCTCGCCGCTGAGACAATAGGTCCGCCCTACTGTAACTTAGTCTCCCACCCACTGCTCATGGGTGGCCGCCAGGGGGAGGAAGTAGGCCCCCTCTATTGTATCTTAGGGCCCCCAGCCGCTGCTCACAGTGCATGAGTGGGGGCTCGGGGGGCACTCTGTCCCCCCAGTTATTTATTTTTATAAGTGCCACACTAAGGGGCACTTTATTAGAATAGTGGGGGGGGGGGTCTTTTTTACAAAAGTGAGCAGCCAGGAAAGCATTGATTCAAGATGCCCCCAAGAGATGGTATTCAACAACCCACTATAGATGAGTTGGTAATGGTGCATTTTAAAATCTATCTTATTTATTCTCTAAACTGAACAAGATGTTTTGCTTTTGTTGAAAGCTCTCTACAACAACAAATGAGCTTGACAACTACAGTGACACATACTGAAAAATATATATATATATATATATATATATATATAAAATCACCATCAGTAATAAGTCATATTGGCTGGCTAGCTAATGCCAAGCAGCGATAAATTATACTAATACAACGTGACAGGTGAGGCTCTGCTAAGTGCCAAGTGGCTTGACAGGCTCTAGCTATGTGTTGGCCCGAGGAGATTTGAGGTTGTGGTAGGGTGTAGGCCTCTCAGTGATAATTAAAGCAGAAGATAGTATGGGAGTGACAGGTGAGGCCCTCTCTATGCAACCATGCGAGGCGAATAGCTATGTTTTGATCGATGGGCGAATACCTTAGAGTATGAGGATGGGTGTCGGCCTGGCAGGGCCACTAGTGTATGGCAGGAGACCAGAAACATAACCTATTTGGACAACCTAAATCCCTGATAGCCAGTACTGTCTGCTAATAGGGGCTAAAAATAGGGATTGTAATTGTCGTACCTATGACAGTTAGAATCAGAAATGATGATTCTTAGTAGAAATTAGGGGAAGGAGGATAGGAGTGGATGCATAATTAAACCTAAAATGGAAACGTAATACCGTATCTGAGTATGTGAGATATGTATATATACCTTTTGTGTACATAGAAAAAGTCATAGATCTTTGAGTTCAGCTCATGAAAAATGAGGGCGAAAACAGAAGTGTTGCGTTTATAATTTTGTTCAGTGTATCTATATATAGATTCAAATCCTAGGAACAAGGGGAGAATTTGGCGAAGGCTACCACAAAATGGAAGAACCTTGTGTAATGAAAACAGTCTGGTCAGAAATTGACACATACGGAAATATCAAGATATTAACAAAAAACCAGGAGGCATTATCTAAATAAGCCAAGTTTATACCAGTTTTACCAACCTAAATTGACAGTATAGGGAAGTTGACAGAAACAGGAACAATTCCTCTATTAGTTCTGCAATGCACCTGCGGGTAGAACATCAAAAGGACATGACATGTCAGCCAAATAACAGGTTTGATATACCAGAAATATAATTGCTATTTATATGAATAGGAATAACCATGAGTTAATTATAATCTAACAGTAATATATTTCTTAACCAATAGGGGGCACCGGTCTTGAAGTAACATACAAACATTCAACAGCAAAATGCTGGAGACAAGCAATCTGGTAAAATCGTTCAAATAGCCTATGCTTATACAGCTGTTCGCCCGTTTCTACCCCAATACATCACACGTTTCATATGAAGTCATACGAGTGAAAAAAGCATCTATGCACCTTGAAAGAGCCGAACCGGGGGGGGGGGGAGGTTGATCTTCACACAAGATATTTACAACCCTCTATGAGAATGGTGCCTATTTTCTAGTAAACCTGTGTCTTATCTACACTCATGTCGCTTTAACCCCTGTATCACAACTCAACTTTGAATTCTATGTATACGTTTTGCTCAGAAATGCTTTAGACTCGAGAAAGGGAAGTTCTCCCTAAAGCTTGTCATTAAAAAATGATGCTAGTCTAAATAAAAAAAGTATTACAAGATACGAATATTATCTGTTTTTTACATCTACATCACTGGACTAATAGGACTACAATCTCTACTTGAACTATATATATATATATATATATATATATATATATATATATATATATATAAGGAATTCAAGTAAATGGCTGCACTCACGAAGTAAAAGTCCAAAGTTTAATGACAAATGATTAAAACATCCAGGATCAACGTTTCAGTCCTTGCAGACTTTCATCAGGATCATGATCCTGATGAGAGAGTCTGCAAGGACTGAAACGTTGATCCACTCTGCTTATTACCCTTAGAGCCAGGACTTGAAGGCTCTAAAAAAGGAAAACGTTACCGAGCGGTGGTGTGTTGCTGCCATAAAAGCAAAAAGGTTCCCTTTATGGAACAAATATCATATAGACTCCGGAACATGTGAATGGTTCCAGATATTTATATACAATAGAATGCCATTCCTAGATTATCTACACTACACCCAGTTATAAATGATTATGCAAATTCTATTTAAGTGTCACAAAGATTAAATATTTTGTTTTTCAGTTTAACTCATGGATGGCATTGTGTCTCAGGGCTCTTTTGATAATTGAAAACAATCTCGGATACCTGTGATAATTAGATTGCCAGGTGAGCCCAATTTAAGGAAAAACTACTAAAGGAGGGTGTTCCACATTATTAAGCAGAGCACCATTTTCATGCAATATGGGGAAGAAAAAGGATCTCTCTGCTGCCGAAAAGAGTGAAATAGTTCAATGCCTTGGACAAGGTATGAAAACATTAGATATTTCACGAAAACTTAAAGCGTGATCATCGCACTATTAAGAGATTTTTGGCTGATTCAGAGCACAGACGGGTTTGTGCAGATAAAGGCACATTGAGGAAGATTTCTGCCAGATCCATGCATCGGATCAAGAGAGCAGCTGCTAAAATACCATTACATAGCAGCAAACAGATATTTGAAGCTGCTGGTGCCTCTGGAGTCCCACGGACAACAAGGTGTAGAGTCCTCCAGAGTCTTGCAACTGTGCATAAACCTTCTATTCGGCCACCACTAACCAATGCTCACAAGCAGAAACAGGCAGAAACATACATTGCATTGGGCAGAAACATACATGAAGACTAATTTTCAAACAGTTCACTGATGAGTGCCGTGCAACCGTGGATGGTCCAGATGGATGGAGTAGTGGATGGTTGGTGGACGGCCACCCTGTTCCAACAAGGCTGCGACGTCAGGAAAGCGGTGGTGGTTAAGTCATGTTTTGGGCCGGAATCATGGGAAGAGAGCTGGTCGGCCCCTTTAGGGTCCTCGAAGGTGTAAAGATGACCTCTGCAAAGTATGTGGAGTTTGTGACTGACCACTTTCTTCCCTGGTACAGAAGGAAGAACTATGCTTTCCGTAATAATCTTCATGCATGACAATGCACCATCTCATGCTGCAAAGAATACCTCTGCATCAATGGCTGCTATGGGGATAAATGGAGAGAAAGTCATGGTGTGGCCTCCATCCTCCCCTGACCTCAATCCTATTGAGAACTTTTAGAGCATCCTCAAGCAAAAGATCTATGAGGGTGGGAGGCAGTTTACATCCAAACAGCAGCTCTGGAAGGCTATTCTGACATCTTGCAAACAAATTCAAGCAGAAACTGTCCAAAAACTCACAAGTTCAATGGATGCAAGACTTGTGAAGCTGCTATCAAATAAGAGGTCCTATGTTAAAATGTAACGTGACCTGTTAAAATGTTTAAAAAGTTAAAATGTTGTTATAAGTTTGATTGAAATAGCTTTTGATTTCAGTAAATATGCTGCAAACACAACAAATAACAATTTTCAGTTCTTTACAACCTATAAAGTGTTTTGAAACTTACTGTGCGTAATAATTTGGAACAGTGCATTGTAAGTTATGTTTAAAAAAAAAAAAAAAATACGGTTATCATAAGGAGGTTTGTTCAATACAATTTGAATTGTACTCTTTATAGTTGACAACATGAGAATTATGCTGACTGTTAGTTACATCAATTATTTAGGTAAATGAGAAAAATATAATTTGCATAATAATCTGGAACAGGGTGTAGTTTCTTTCTTTTTTTTCATGTACCTTCGAGTTCACTGTTACACTGTATATGTGGGGTGTGTCAAAGAAACCCTTACACAGGTTGATTCCTATAGCGCTCCACTACTAGGTATATATTTTATACCATTGTTTTTCAGTTGATGTACAGACGTTGTGGAACGTTGGAATCAACCAAGGCATCTTTTTTTATTTTTTATTTTTTTAACGTATTGAAAAATTGGAAATGGAAATAGATCCTGTGTCTCCTCCTCTAGTGCACCAGCTGAGGGGGGGAAAAGGTTATTTTCTTATGAGGGTCAAGATGATCTTATATAAGATCCTAAAGATAAATCTAAAGTGGAATGTTTCTTTACAATATTGGATGCTACAATAAAACCTGTCCACAAGGGATTTGACCACCATAAATTACATTCCAAGTATTTGCACTTTTTAATGATATCCAGAAGCTAAAGGATGTGCAAAAGGTACTCGAAGTGCTGCATGGCATTGCAGAAAGTTTTAACTGATGTGAAATCTCTGATGACCGAGTGGAAACCACGACACGGCACTGAAGAATTGGAGAAAGGAGTTTAAATATCCTCAAGATGTTTGGTTAATTCTGGTCACATGACGTTGGAGAATGCGTGTCGTGAAAGTGATGACACACACACATCCGCGTTGTTACCCTGAGTGGGTTCCGTTGTCCCTTTAAATGCCTCTGGTGCGCAGCGTTGTACATCATGCCGGACGTAAGCACAACCGGAGCAGGCTGAGCAGCGCCGCCGGAGTCCCCAAGCACTGCGCGTGTACACACAGAAGGTAAGTGCAACCCGCGGCCGGTGTTACACAAAGCTGAACATAAGCTTTTGCCACCTGTGGCAACAGTGATTAACAATGTCAACATAATGCAAAGTTCAATTGCCACATTCGGATCAAATCCATTCCTCACTTCATAGGCCAAAACTTCAACAGGTGTCATTGAAGGTTTTACTGCAGGAACCGCAACAGCAATATCTTCACACAGTTGCCTTGCATTTACATTCATCTTGTTTTCCTATTGATATTTTGACTTTCACTTGTTCTCGACTATCCCTCATTCTGGTATCCTTGACCTTTTGGCTTGTCTTATCATTTTCGTTTATTTTTGTGTCACTTCCCAATTTTTCTCTTTTATGTTAAGTTCACCCATTCTGAGGCAAGGTAATACATTTATATAGTTTTTGCATTTACTTATTTTACTTAATTTTGCTTGTTGGGTCAAATGTTATCCTGCCACTTTGAAAAAAGTTTAATATAATTTTTTTTAAAAGATCCTACAACTCAGGAGACTGAATTTGAAGTACTGCTAAAAGCCTTGCTATTGCCAAAGCAAGGAAAGTAGAATTTAAATGTTCTAATGCAGCGGTTCCCAAACTGTGTGCCGCGGCGCCTTTCCCTGGTGCTATGATTATAGCACCAGGGAAACATTACTGCTTAAAAGGGCCTGGTCGGGTGTGCAGTCCTTTAAGACCGCGACCGGGCACCTATAATTTCGGCTGGATGGGAGGAAGTGACATGCTGTCACTTTCTCCTAGTGTCATGCAGAGAGACAGTGCAGGAGGGAAAGGAGGCAGCCGCAGCATGAGGGGAGAGTAGCACAAAGCGCTCCAGACCCCTCACTCCCACCAGGAGCAGGAGGACAAGGACTCTGACCCACCCTCCTGGACACACAAGGTAAGCTAACAGGAGGGTGGCTGGAGATATTACAAATATCATTTGTGTGTGTGTATGTATGAGTGTGTGTGTGTATGTATGAGTGTGGCTGTCAGGGTGTGCATGTGTGTGTGTGTGTCAGGGTGTGCACCTGTGTGTGTATATTTGTCAGTGTGTTTCTGTGTCAGTGTGTGTCTGTGTGTACGCACACATCTGTGTGTCAGAATATGCACCGGTGTGTCACTGTGTATGTTTTTATGTCAGTGTGTGTCGCTGTATCATGGTGTGTGCACATATCAATGTTTGTGTGTGTCAGGGTGCATGTGTGTGTGTGTGTGTGTATGTCGATGTATGCGTGTGTTACATTAATGTGTCGGTGTCTACATTAATTTGTGTGTATGTATATCTGTGTATGTATGTATGTATGTATGTATGTGGTAGTGTATGCGCATACATCCAAGCAGTCATACACCAGCACAACATACAAACACACTCCTGCAATCTAACACAAATATTACATACAAACACACCCTGCATTCAAACGCTAAAAGAATATACAAACACACCCCCTCACTCAAACAAAAATACTTCACAGCAATGTACATCCACATTCAAACACACCACCACAATCAAACGCAAACATTGCATACAAACACACTCCTATATTAAAACACTAAAACTATATACAAGTACTCCTTCAAACACCAACACTGTACATTACACTATAGCGCCAGTAAATGCCGCAGTGCTGTACAGATATACAACCTAGAAATTTTGACTTGGGGTGCCTTGGAAAAATATTTAAATATTAAGGCACCTTGACCCTAAAAGGTTTGGGAACCACTGTTCTACTTGCTTTCTGAGTGCCCATAACATTTCTATAGTTGCACCTAATATTGTATATGCCAGTGTGCCACTATTACAAAAATGTGTGTGTTTTTTTTTGGTCAACTATATTTGGATGTTGTATTGCACTTTCACATTATTATTTTTTATGTGTTACCGTAATACTTTTTTTTTACATAATGGCCTATTGTGCAATGTATCAGTCTCTTGATCTAAAACTTAGTTATTCACTAAAGTAAGAATAAGTGCATTTCAATTTAAGGACAAAGTAATTAAACTAGAAGCATCAAAATTCAGTTATTTTGATCTTAAATTTTTATTGTACTAATTTATGTACCTCAGTGACCATGTGAAAACACCAGATTTCAAGAGACTCTGGACATCTCTCTCCATGTTCATTTAGTTAACCCTTTTTTTTTTGTTATGCTTTTAAGTTGTATTACATTACTTTGTTATAATTAATAGGATTTGTTAGTGCTACCAGCATGTCCTTGCACTATATGCCACTTCAAAACAGTTAAATAGTCATGATGTGTGGAGTAACCCTCTAATGAGGTACAACAAGGACCATAACCATCTATGCATCTTGCATAGATAAAGGAGTCCCCTGTTACTCACCCAATGTATTATAGCCAATGCTGTAATAAAACGTACAGATTTGTTACATCAAAAGGGCGACGTATGAACACTATGTATCCCTCTACTTCTCCTTGGTTTAATTATTTAGTGATTTCGATACACCTAAGCTTAAAGGGACACTATAGTCACCAGAACAACTACAGCTTGTGCTGATGAGTATAATAGCTCCCTTCTGGTGAGTTGTTCTAGTGAGTATAATAGCTCCCTTCAGGCATTTTTTTTATGTAAACACTGCCTTTTCAGAGAAAAGGCAGTGTTAACATTGACCCTAGGGACACCTCCAAGTAGCCACTCCACAGATGGCCACTGGAGGGGCTTCCTGGCTGAGGGCTGCACAGTAAGTAGCCCTGCCGTTCAGCGTCCCCATGCTCTGCATGGGGACACTGAATTTTCCTCATAGAGATGCATTGAATCAACCTGATTGGTCAAAACAGCATGGTGCTGATTGGTCAAAACAGCATTTAGCCTCGCCCCCTTGATTGGCTAAAAAAAAAAATCTGCAATTTTGATGATGTCTTTAAGGGGGCGTGGCCAGCGTCGGCGGACCCATGAAGAGCTGAAAATAAAGTGAGTTTTGACCCATTATGAGGGGGCACCTAAATGGTGGATTTTCACTATAGGGTCAGGAATACATGTTTGTGTTCCTGACCCTATAGTGATCCTTTAATTAGGGAAATAAATGAGGAAAGAAAAAGTTTCATTTCTAATTAATGGAATTTAGCTAACCTAAGAATCCCGCACAGAAGGGCAAACTTCAGACATCAAAAGGCAGAAGAAAACAAAAATGGAGGCCCCACATATTGAGATTAGGCACAAGGAAACAAGATAATAATTATAAAGAAATAAACTAAAAATTAAGATATAAGAGGCATGAGAACAGTAAAACAAAAACAAAAAAACAACCAGTGTGTAGCTTCAATGTGAAAAAGTCACTTGTAAAGTAGGGATCTCAAACTCTTGCCCCCCAGATGTTTATTAATTCAGTACAGTAAACGCCAGAGAATCAGTATTCTATAAGGTATGCAAGTCAAGGGGAAGGCAGGCAGCAAGTAGTAATGGTCAAGAGCAATCCTGTTCAAAAATAAGAAAAATTAGGAGCACAGGAAACACAAAATTCTGAGCAAAACAAACAACATAGAAAGGACTGGCAAAAAACCAGAGGAAAGCCTAGACTATGAAGTCATAATCATGAGTCCTGACACTTAAAGATACAATGCCCAATTTAAAACAATGACGCTGACATTTAAAGAGACAGTGAATAATTTAACAATGATTATGTTAAAACCTGACATCCTTTTGTGCCAGATGTGTAACTCCACCTCTCAAAGTATCATTGGGGTGTCATCAGCCAGCCGGGTACAAACGTTCTGTGCATTTTTCAATGCACAGTATTTCATTCACTGGCTTAGAGCAGGCAGCTGACGACAAAGAATGACAACAATGAATGCAGAAGCGTGATATATGTCAAAGCAGCAGGAAGCCTCAGAGCCTGGCGGGGACCCAGGGAAGAGAGCAAACCATTGTAAAATGGTTACTCCTGGATTCACACTACTACAAAAGGCTGTAGTGGTTATGCTACTTGAAGTAATCTTTTTTTTTTTTTTTATTCTTTAGTTTCAATTTTTATATGTAAGGTCTGATGGGAATTTCGGTGACAGGAATTGTTATAGTAGAAAGGCCACGGATGGAAGTCAGAGCGGCCAGCGACCCTGCACCGAGTCAACCCCCAGCATCCAGCCGTATTGGCACAGCAGATTTATTAGGGCTCTACAATGGCAGGGACATGTCTCCACCCAGCCAAGGATCCCAAATTTTGTGAAATTGTTTGACAGTGTCATGGATTTGCCCATACTTATGCTGTCCTGCATTTTTTTATTTGCAATTATAGCGTGTGTTGGAATGTGAAGTGTGGACCATACTTCTGTGATTGCTCTGCGCATTGCTAAGGCGATGCATGCAATTAGTTTGTTATCCACCATGGTGAATGCCTCTAAGGGTTTTGAAAGTAAGAGGACCCTGGGGCAAGGTTTTTCCAAAATTCTAGTTAGTAGTGTCGTGATGCTAAGCCATAGGGGTTTTAAATGGGGCAAGTCCACTAACAATGAAGGAACGTTCCTGTTTCCCCACATTGTTTCCTGCATAAGTTAGAATCCGAGTGGTGTATGATGAGTAAGTGCTTGTTGGATGATGGGGTAGCAGCAAAGCTGCGTAGCTGTATATATCTGAAGTGGTCAAAGGTTGTCAGTGTGGCATTATCTGGGATGCCTGCATATTTAATGACAGCATTATCGTGGTACAGGTGACCCAGTCTCGATATTTCCGTTGCTCAAAGTGAGGAAAGTGTTCTTGCGTAAGGCCTGGTGGGAAAAGTTTATTTCTCCATATCGGTGTCATAGGAGATAGGAATGAGGAAAGCTCATATTTTCCCTGTAGTCTGTCCCATAGATCTAGGGAGTGTGCTCGCAGGCAATGTGGGTGGGGTTAGAGGTCGGTGTGGTTTGGGAACCCACATTCACAGGGACTGTCGATTGGAGAGCCTTTAAATCGGATCTATAGAATGGGATAGGAAGTGTTTGGAAGATATTTAAAAATCTGGGAAGGCGGTTCATCTTGACAGAGGAGATGAGTCCCAGCACCTTCCAATGGCATAGGTCTAATGGCTTTGTGTAAGAGAGGGGTGTAGTTCTTCTCGTATAGTGTGGTTATGTCAGCTGGCAGTTGTATTCCCAGATAGGTAATGGTTGAGTGACATATTCGGAAGGGGAACTTTTCTTTTATTTGGTCTAGGCAGGGTCTGCTAATTTGTATTGGCAGGAGATCTGATTTTGGAAAACTGAGTTTATACCCAGAGATTTTTGGGTAAGTCTGGATGAGAGTTAGTGAATCGAATTTTCAGGGTTGGTCATTGTTAGCAATACGTCATTGGCGTATGCCGACACTTTAAATGGCTAATCTCTGACATTTATGCCCTCAATATCCCAGCTGGAGTGCACCACCTGCAGAAAAAGTTCCAAAGAGAAGGCGAGCAGGAGAGATGAGAGGGGGCAGCCCTTTCTCATGCCATTTGTGATTGGAAATATTGGTGGGGTTATATTAGGTAGGAGGACGGCTCCTTGTGGGGAGTGATAGGCAGCTTGAAGAAAGGAAAGGAATTTTGGGAATACGAAATATTCAACATTCAAGGGTTTGATATAGAAAGAGACATAGGAAGCGATCAAACGCCTTTTTGGAGTCGAGTGATATGGCCGCCATAGGGATCCGATGATGTTGGGCCAGCCAAATAATATCTATGTTTCTACAAGTATTATCCATGGCCTTTCTGTGAGGGATAAAACCTACCTGGTCTGGATGGATCAGTGCACCTAGGTAAGTCGATTGGACATGATTTTGGTCATGATTTTTAGGTCAACATTCAGAAACAATATTGGTATGTTGTGGTCGGGTTCTGTAAGGTCCTTGTTGGTATCTTGGAGTAAGCATACGTTTGCCGTGATCATGTTTGCGGGGAGCTTTTCCCCTCTCAGCAAGGCGTTAAACACAGAGGAAAGGTGTTTCAAAAGATGGAGGCTAAATTCTTTGTAATATAGAGCTGTGTAGCCGTGCGGTCCCGGGCTTTTGTTGGGCTTAAAGGACCCAAGGGCAACCGCCATCTCCTCCACCGTGACCTCCGTTGCGATTGCTATTTTGGCATCCAGGGTTAGGGTCGGGTTGGTGACACTTTGCAAGAACTTTTTCATTAGGATGTTGCGGGTGTCCTCTCTGTGTTGAACAGTTGGGGAGTGATTGTATAAGGAAGTAAAATAGTCTTGTAAAATGTCACCAATATGCACTGGTGTGTTACTGAGGTACCTTTATTTATTCGTTGTTTGAGACTTGGCGCCAGCATGGAATCCGCTTTGTTCCCTTTTTCGTAGTATTTCTGTTTTAGCCACATCAGGGCTTTAGATGTATCTGCATGGGTGAGTTGTTTAAGAAGTTCTCTTGTAGAGTTTAGTTGTGCCAGGGTGGCTGGCTGTCGGTCTTGTTTATGTCTAGTTTCCAGTCGGGGCAATTCTGCCATTGCGTTGGTTAGTTGTTGGAGTTTCTGGGTTGGCTTTTTTTGTGGTGGCTATCCTGATTAGGTTGCCTCATATAACCGCTTTGTGTGTGGCCCACAGGGTCATTGGCGAAGGTGCACATTTAGATTAAAGTAAAGATCGCTTTAGAAATGTTCCTCACCTCACCTTTTTGTCATGTTAGAGTAGTGGGTTTAGTTCCACAACCATTGTTGTTTTAAATTGGGAAGAGTTAAGGTAAGCGATATGTCTGCATGGTCGGACCAGGAGATTGGTCCTATGTCCGACCTGGTGGCGTGGGACAGCAGATTTGAGGTGATTAAGTAGTAGTCTATATGTGAATAAGATTTGTGTGGGTGTGAATAAAAAGAGAGTTCGAGTCGATGGCTATGAATGAGGTTTTGTGAAAATAAAAATTGTGCGCAGTGGGTGTCATTCCTGGAGGGTTGAAAGTGGTTGGGATTTTGTGTTGTCCTATCACGGGCGTGTGTGTAGCATTGAATTGCAATTACCCCCCACTATAAGGTGTTTTTAGAGTACAATTTTTAGGTGGGTCGCAAGTTGTTGCCAGAACGCACTGTCTGGTATACTCGGTTTATAAACTGAGCAGAATGCATATTCTGCATTTCCTATTTTCCCTGCTATAGTGATATATCTGCCTTGGGGGTCTTTTGTGTATGTGATTTCTGCCAAGAGGCATGAGGTTTGTAGTATATTGCTACCCTTTTTGTTTTAGGGTCTGTGAAGTTAACTAAGAATCTCTGTTTGTAATAGTAAGGGGGAACGAGCGATTGGTCGTGAAATGTGTTTCTTGGACTAGGAGAATATATAGATGTTGTTTGTGAGCCCATCGTAGTAGCCCATGTCTTTTAGCGGGCGTATTGAGCCCCTTGGCGTTGATGGAGAAACACCTTGGGGCGAGGGACACAAAGCTAAGGGAAAACTACATGAGAAGGGGGAGATCAGAGGAGGTCGGGGATCGCGGGCCATTAGGAAGAGAGTGGGGTAAGGAAAGGAGGGTAAGAAAAGTGGGAGGGGTGAGGGAAGAGAGAGTGCAGAGGGAGAATGAAGTAAGAGTATTAGGCTATTGGGCTTAATATCGGGCCAGTAGTAGGTGGGGTATTATGCCTGACCGCTCATTTGGTCGTGCAGGGAAGTAGTGTGGAATGTACAGGGGGTAAGGGCGGACAGCAAGTCTATTGCTTCTGTCACGCTATTTTTAGAATGTAAGGTCAAAGGTCAGGGATTTAGTGTTAGTTTGTCCTCCTCCCCACCATGTCCCTCCCTCAGTCCCGTAGGGTATGGGGCCGGCTTAGGCACTCCAGGCTCCTGTGGTCTACGACGAAGGCTGATGATGTCAGACTCGGGTCAGTGGGGTCAGCAGAATCGAATTGTCAATGTTATGGATACGCTTGTCATCTGCTCATCGGTCCATGAAGTTAAATAGGAAGGAAGGCCTGTATGATGAAGCATATGAACCAACATTACTTCACTGTTATATCATGAAACTAGTATCATAGGGTGTACTCAAGCATAATGAACATACCATTTAGCAACAAGATAAAATAAACTAAATAAGAGTAATAAGGAAACATAAAAAGCAGTTATTTAACAGTACCTATAACAATGGACCTGGTCTCTAATGTTCCAGTCTCTGGACCTGTGACGTCTAGTTTTTTACCTGCCTATATCAATTATACATATGGGTATAAAAGCATCAAAACCACCGAAACCACCCAAGGGTAACCCAGTACTGGGGTCTACAGTATACAGATACTTATTTTTGGTTATATTTTATTATAATACGAGGCTCAGTTAACATTGGCTTGTGCCCCCACCGAGCATTCATTGTGTCTTCAGCTCTTGGCTCCAACCTGTTCGGCCCTTGGTTAATGCCCGGGTGTTATCCCTGTAGCCAATGTAAGGTACTCTCGGTACCCAATGCCTTGGCTTAAAAAATGGGGGGGGGGGCAATGATGCAGAATTTTTTCCCTGCCATAAGTTATGTCCTAGTAATTGAGTAGGGGATAATTTCTGGTAGTTTAGTGGTGGGTGCGTGTGGGCTGTTCTCTTCCACCTTGCTCCCTGGCATCACCCATAATGTATATGCCAGTACTGCCTAGTGTAAAGGCCTCTCTCGGTGGGTACGTGCGCTATTGCTCTTGTCATGCTTAGTATGATAAGGGAAGCATGGTTTTACATGGACGATTGCGCTGAGGTGGGGGGGGGGCAAGTTAGTGGGGGGCCAAGCGAGGGTGTCTAGTGTAGTTGGTATATTGCCTGTGCCCTTATAGCTAGTCAGGTGGCCAGATTGACTTGCTGGAATTAAATAACAGGTGCCTAGCGTCCCAACAAAAGATTAAAGGGACACTCCGGGCACCCAGACCACTTCTGCCCATTGGAGTGGTCTGGGTGCCAACTCCCACTACTTTTAACCCTGCAAGTGTAAACCTGTGCTAGAGCGTCGCTGGACGTCCTCACGCTGTGTGAGGACCTCCAGCGTCGCTCATTTCCCCATAGGAAAGCATTGAAATACATTTTCAATGCTTTCCTATGGGGAGCGCTAATGCACATGGGCGGCAATCATTAGGTTTCCCCAGCCGGTGGGCGGAATTAGTCTTGTCCACCGGCCGACGCAGTCAGAAGGAGGAGTGGCGGCGGAGGAGGAAGTGGCCATGAGGGACATCATCGCTGCCTCAGGTAAGTTACTGAAGGGGTAAGTTACCAGGGGTTGGGGGGTGGGAGGGAGAGGGAGAGGGAACCTGCAGTGCCAGGAAAACGGATTGTTTTCCTGGCACTGGAGTTTCTCTTTAATACATTGAAGAAGTGGTTTTATCAGAGTCCATACAGATGTTCAAACAGCTACTAGATGCATACTTGCAAAAAGAAATTATTCAAGGATATAATCTTTCAATGTAGGGTAATAACTGCTTGATCCAAGGATAAATCTGACTGCCATTCTGGGGTCAAGAAGGAATTTTTTTCCTAGCTTGTTTCAAAATTGTGCTTCAAACTGGGTTTTTTGCCTTCTTTTGGATCAACAGCAAAAATCAAATGTGAGGAAGGCTGAACTTGATGGATGCAAGTCTCTTTTCAGCTATGTAACTATATGTAAAGCTAGACAGAAAACATAAAAGTTATCGTGGCTAGCAATTGAAGCTAGTTTTTCTTATCTGCATCTGATGTGTTCATGGTGGTCTACAGGAGGCCCGTAGTTTGTGTTGGGTAGTCGGAATCGGTGTGCAATCAGTCCGCTCAATTGTGTTGTTGTATGCGAGGAGTAGATCTTCTGTGCACTGATTCACAGGGGTCCCGCAGTGTTCAGTCTTGCTTGGCATTGCGTTCGGTAAATTCAGTCCCGTGATGCGGCGATTGGATCTCCGTTTCTTTTGCGGAGCATCTGTGGGCTTCCATTCTCCCCGGACGGGGTGGAGATGCCTGCGGTATTCTGCCAGATTGACGGTCAGCGTTCACGTCTATGTGCGGGAGGCCCAGTTGTTCAGAAAATGTTTGGTTCTCCCTGTGTGCCATCAGCTTAAACGGGTGTCCCCATGAATAACCGATTCTTCTCGCAGGCAATTCCCTTTGTTTCCTCAGTGTGCTAGCAGTCAGGTCTTGATAGAATTGGACCTGGTGTCCCTTGATCAGGAGTGGGGTGTTATGGGCTGCCCTCATAATAGCTTCCTTTACACGGACGTATGTAGCCAGACTATAACGTCCTTTGGGTGCACCATATTAGATAAGGAGGCTGAAGTGCCCTATGCGCCTGATTCAGGAAGAGTTCCACTGAAGGCGCCTCTGGGAGAAGGCCGCAAAATGTCTCTCAGAGGGTAGAGGACAAAGTGTAAATTTCTATGGACTCGGGGATGCCCCTGATCCTGATATTTTTTCGGGATCGGTTGTTCAGATCCTTATAGGCATGTTCCAGCTGTCTGACTTGTTCCTGGAGAGCTCTTTTGGCCTATTCATGTGTAGTTGTCCTAGATGTAACTTGGTCCACCTTCTCCTCCATTTTGTTAATGTTTTAAGAGGTCATTGAGGCCTTCCCTGATAGGGGCCGGGTTTCTGATGAACTCCAGTTCCATATTATATTTTATATCCTGTAGCAGGCTTTTGAGGTTTTCCCTGGTGATAAAAGTGGGGTTTTGCGAGTCGCTGGCTGCCGAGTTGCAGAGTTGGAGTCATAATCCTGGTGCTCGTCTGCATGTGGTGGGTCTCCCTTCTTGCAGCTATGGAAGATCGCTGGCACCGTGGTATTCTGTTTTGATTTTCTACCGACTCCCATATCGGTGGGTATGTCTGCCGTCTTGCGACCTTTTTTGGGGAAAATTTTGTGAAAATAGCTGCTATTGTTAGCTATATAAATGCCTGCAGGTGTGAAGCTCTAGCAGAAAGCCGCCAGCTGCACCAGAGGTAACCTTTCAACTATAACCAACTGAGGTTTTTATATACCAGACAGGTAGCAGATCATTTTTCTGTTTTGACTTTGTAAATAATCTGTTATAAAACTGTAAATTATTTACAAAAAGTAAATAACCATCCACCTTTACAATGTCTGCATATGCTGGGTTTCCACCTTTCAAAGTCAGCCCTACCCAAACCACAATAAAAATGCTCTCATTCTCTTCAATGGAACCTCATTTTTATATATATATATATATATATATATTTAGATTCTTTATTTTTTCGTGCAAATAGGTGATTACAGACATACATGCGATGCCACGACAGCATGTACATGAACCTTCAACATACAGAGTTTATCAATTGTGTGGCTTGGATAGGCAGTGCACATTTTATAATATAAAGTAGAGAACAAATAAACTGTACATGTCTAGAGCTGTGATAAACAATGGGAGTATATGTAGTGAGCTGCAGGTAGACATGGTTGTGGGATGTAATGAGTGCAACTGAGAGAGTAGAAGTAGCAGGATATGCTGAACATAGTAATAAGAGTGTTATGGCTGAAAGAGTTGTAGCTTAGTGTTGCACATAAGTGAGAAGGTAAGACCACCAGGACTGAATATCACTCCCAGGAAAACGCTACATGCCTTAATGTAGGAGTGAAAACAGTATAAACCAGTAAAAAAAAAAAAATAAGACAACAGGTCAAAAGCAAATTAAAACAGTTTAACAAGGCTGTGGCAACTCAGAGCACGAGGGTATTTGGCCCATATCTTGTAAAAGTTCCATGTTCATCAGGGTCCCAGTATTTGCCAGTAGCTTGAGCATGTTGGAGCATTAGTGTCCCTACTGTCCACCATCAGGACCTCTAGGTATTGCTGATTTTCTTTTTGCAGAGCATAACCGGGTAGCAGCTCCATGTCAGGTTGGCACCAAACCTGAATAGGGGCACATGCTCCACATCCACGTCTCCTCTCCAGCAAGATAGGATTGCAGGCACGGAGGTTCACTAGATTTTGGAGCAACCCCCGAGTACGTGAGCGACGGGTTGGGGGTGTCTTCAGGTAGCTCCCGGCCTAGAAGAGAAACCGGCTGTGAGACCATCATTCCGGGTGGGCTGTGCTGCCAGAGGGGTGAGTGTATTGGTTCTGCTGTGGAATCAATGCCAGAACTTCTGGCAGACTGCATCGAACCTGTCAAGAAAGATCTCCATCCAGTCCTGGTCCCATGGGTTTGCATAGCTTGGATGGTGGTCTTGCGTGGTGGCCATTTTGGTCATGCCACACGGTGACAAATATCATAGGTGTGTTGGCTTGAAGGGCAGCTTTTTTACCGTCCTGGTGAGAACCGGGATAACCCCCACCAGTCCAGGGGGGCAGTGACTGGGTTGCAAGAGTGTAGAATGAGCTGGCGTGCACCACCGCAGGAGATCGGCCGCCTCTCACCCCGGCAAACACCCCAGCCCAAGTAGGCCGCAAGTTAGCCATACCAGAATATAGTCCAGATGGACTTAGAAACTTGTGCTGGGTTGATTTAACAAGCAGCTTGTGGCTTAGGAGCATCGGAAATTGTTTTGTCTGTGGATATCGCTTGATATTATCCCGATTCCTCAAGAGCTAGTGAGACATACATTTGGCCATCTTGGATAGCATCCATGGAACCTCAGTTTATCTAATATGTATGTACAGAAAACATACTGCACATAATAACCCCTACAGCACAAATTATAAGTAGTTAAACTGTTTTTTTTGTTTGTTTTTTTTAAATACTTTATGATTGAAGCGCTTGACATATACATAGTGAACAGTATACATTGCCACAGTTATGTTATTACAGTCAGATTTCTTGGTATTGATACATGCCACGGTCTATCTCAGTCATATGTGGCCTAGTATTACGGTTGGACAAGATACCTTCGTTTTGCTTTTTATTTTATATTTTTATATAATGTAATATACAACTGTAACGATAGTTCATAAACTAAGTAAACTTCTCAACAGTGCTTATGGAAGCCTATGTATCCGTCTACTTTTCCGGTAGGGCTCATGGCACCTGTCTCCTCTACGGTTGCCACTGAGTCGGAATTGGCTATCGGGCCAAGTTACCCACCGGAAAAGCAACAGAGAGAGATAGAAAGAAAAGGAAGAAAAAGAGAGATAAAAGTATTAGAGGGGGTTCATCAGGCTGGAGAATGTGGCGCCAAGGTGTGTGTTTTGTATGATCCCATGTTAATTGGGACCCTATTGGGGCCTATCTAGTTAAGCTGTTTTACAATGGCATGACTTCTTACCAGGGATCTGCCAGGTTCTGCTTCCCACCTCCACTAGAAAGAAGATCTCTGTCTGGTGGTTGAGGGCTTACTTAGCTTAGATTGATCTGCTAAGCTTTCAATCTGCTAGCCCTCCACTACAGGGGTTAGGTCATGAGAGCTAACAATAGCTTCTAACCAGGAGCATCTGGCTCTCACAGCGGTAGTACAGATGGCAAGTAGCACCCAGCATTCCCCAGGTTCTAAAATAGGGTGACTATTTACAATGAGGGAGCAATGGGGCACTCCTGGCATCAGAGTGGTCATGATGTTTGGAGTGTTCTTTCAAAGTGAGCCTGTCATAATAGGTTCACTTCAACATAAATACCCTCTATAGCCAATTGAACTATAATTTATCATAAAGATAAATGATAATTTCTAGTGATCAACGTATTATCGGTCTGGCCGATATTTGGTATTTTCGGCAATATCGGTATTGATATCGCAGAACCGGACTGCCGGGCCCATGACAAGCCCGGCGGTCCTGGGGGGCCCGCAGCAAGCTCTTACTTACCTTCCCAGCAGCTCCCTTCAGTTTCCCTGTTTAAATGTTGCGAGTGCCGCGGCCATCAGAGCGTTGCACAGGGTTACCATGGCAACGCTCCACGCGGCACGCAGGGCACGAGAGTTAGAGGAGCTGAAGAGAGCTGCTGTGAAGGTAAGAGCTTGCTGCGGGCCCCCACTGCACAGTCCATGCCACCGGACCACTAGGGAATGCCATATCCCTCCTCCCTGACAAAGTAAGAAGCAGGGAGGGGGGACTAAAAATATATATATATATATATATATAAAAAATTTTAAATTAAAATAAATTAAAAATAAAAATGCCCCCTCCCCCCCATTTTAGACTGCATTATATGAAAACACTACACAAATTCAATACACAAACACACACTGCATTAATTATATACACACTACACAAACACAGTGCATTTACTATACACACACACACACTTTGCATTCATTATATACACACACACACTGCACAAACACACTCTGCATTCATTATATACACATACACTACACAAACACACTGCATTCACTTTACACACGCTACACAGACAATACATTCACTATACACACTACACAAACACTCACTGCATCCACTACACAAACACTCTGCATTCATTATATACACACACACACTACACAAACACACATTGCATTCACTAATTAAATACTCTCTCCGCATCTACCACACACACATATTCTCAAAAACAAAAAATTCTTACTGGCATGTATATTTTGTGCATTTACCTTAATAAAAAAAAAAGGTTTGCAAAAAAATAAATAATAAACATGTTCAGTTAACAGTAGATTTGTGTAGAAATTGTTTATTTTTTAAAAATGGTAAATGTACAGAATATCAGTAAATTATTGGCCATCGGCCTGAAAGTTCACAGATTAGCCGTATCGGCTCTAAAAAAAATCTATATTTTTCGATCCCTAATAATTTCCATGTATAAGGATGAGATATCAATTCACCACCCCTCCAGTCCAGCGCAACCATATCTTCACTTCTGTGTATCTCAGAGTTCCACAGCAATGTGTAGTGTGAATGAATGTATCACAGAGATGTTGTATTTAGGAGCTCTCAGATACATTAAAATGCACATTATTATAAGTTTTACTGCTGGAGCTCTGAAATTCACTAATACAGCACACATACATTGCCTTCACTATGCAATCTCCCTTTAACAAAATCCTTGTGGTTTTATTAAACCTTCCCCAACACAAAACTCCCATTAATATTCTATATGCCCCTCTAACCTCACAGAAAGCTGTACATATGCCAGTCAGTGGAAATGGTGATTCGTATAGCATATTCATACAATTATTTGGATTGGCAGAGCAGAAGGTAGAGCGGACTACCTCAAATCATTGACGGTACCAGCAACAGTTTGCACTTGGAAGATTGAGATCTTTGACCATAATCATGTATTTGTAACCTTAAAGATACTCTGACATATTTAGATATCAGTGCCCCTTGTATCCATTAAAGAGTACTGCTACCAAACAGTGATTTAATAAAACACTTCTTCTGGCTGTAGCAACTAGGCTAGTTGGCATGTTCCCCACCCCTTAACTGTAATCCCACAATGAGGCCAAATTTTCCCTGCAGTCGGACTCCCCCTTTACTGCAATGGAGGACTTGAGGCGGCATGTAGTGGGGGCTCTAGCATTCTAACATTAAATAAGCACAGATTTTTAAAAAGCCAGCCTGGAACTTTTGTTCTGGGCTGGCTAAGGACGCTGTCGGAGGTGAAGTTACAACTTGGCCAACAGAGTTCTATAACTCTGTATGTACAGTGTTTCCCAGTGCACATACAGATTCCAAGCACAATGACCACATCAAATCACTGAAGTAGTCGTATCACTTGGAGTATCCATTTTAAGAGAAGCATTATCAGAGTCTATCAATGTGGAGAGCATTCAGTGTCTTCATGCAGATCATTAAGTCACAAAACATCAGTCCTACAAAGATTGTAGGATAATAGAAAGCAACTCTAATAGCTGAGTGAAAGTCACTACAGGCGTCTACTAATCTCATGTGACAAATAAAAAACTGCTCAAGGGGTATTCACTACTTACCGTAGAAAAGTGGCACTGTACCCCCACTTTAAAATCTTTATGCAATACTCATAATGACTGTGCTGAAATTTCACTGAAATGCCAAACCCAGTCAAAAGATAATACTGAGGCAAAGTAGTGACACTTTATGAAACTGGGCAAAACAACCGCTGTCAAGAAGTGTCAATCCCCCAGGTGTCACCAGTAATGGCTGCAGGGAAATTGGCTAGATCTATGGAGGATCCTCCATAGACCACAATGCTGTACTATTGCACATGTGCAGAGTACAGCAGTGACGCTAAAGAGCCAGGAACAAAAGAGGACTGGCCGGGAGGGGGCGGTGGTACCCACAAGGTATGAGTTCAGATAAGTAACTTTCCTCTTTGCCTGCCCACCCCTCTGCAGCTATGTGGCATTCAGGGGTCTTTGCTAATTATGCAAAGTCCCCAGATGGTGACAGTTCCGCTTTAATGGGATAAAAGAAGACTCCACAGACCAATGATTATCTCTTGCTAGTAAGTGAGGAGTCCTGTAGCTGTAGGAAACACCCCTGATCAGTGCATCTGCAGAGTATTTTCTCCCAATTCATTTGTTAGCGAATCTATTGGCACAATTTATAGCTAGAATTGTATGCTCTTTAAAAGGAGTATGGGTTAAAACTAGTCTAACAGGTAGCCTTATACTAATAGATTAACATTGGTATAATAGGTACCCTTTAAAAAAAAAAAAAAAAAAAAATCTTCTGCTTCTTGTATTTGAGCTGCAAGTCTCATAAGGAGCCAGGAGTTGATGACATATGACTGAACCCTCTGCTGACCATAGTGCAAAGGGAGGTGTCAAAAGAGGGCAGATCTGAGGCAGGGAAGACATGATCTCCCTCCAGCTGACAGCTCTCACTATCTCCCTGCACCGTACATGTACAGAACCAGGGAGCCCCCACCGCACATGATTTACACAGTGCTTGATCCGGATACATGTATATACGGCATACTGTCAATAATTACTTTTAGTTTTAATGTATACGCTCATTCAATAATGTATAATTACTTTATTTCGAGTGTAGAAATATAAAACTCCTGAATAATTATAAACAGCATTAAAATATTTAAAGATGTACAACCAGCTGGGAATACACCATGATCGATTCAGGACATAACGGGATCCGTCCTCCATATACATTGTACATAATATACATACATTATACACCCCCTCCCCCATGCATACACAATTACTGTATACACACTTCAACCTCGGCCCCGTCCCGGAAGCAGACACACGCCGCCCGTTTCTTGTACCCGTCCCGGTCATATGTCCGAGTCTGATTGCTCTTCAGCTTCATCATTCTTTTCCTCTCTGTCACTTCCGCTCACAGACCACCACCCCCCGCTTCCAATGTTGGGTATCTAAAAGAGGCTACGTAAACGGCGCAGGCGGCTGCCGTGAATACGAGAAAGCCAGCGTCATGGATCGTGCGCATGTCGGGTAATGCAAGCTTTACTGATCAGGTGAGGGTTAGAGCGCAAGTATTCTGTGAATGGTTCACAGCGTGTAGTCAATGCCGCAATTGAGTGTTGGGTGAGTTACGCAAATAGCGTATTTATTACGTATATGTGACGTCATGTCCTTTACGTTGTTGTGCAAAGGCTTTTGTAGGGAGAGTCTAGGTACCAATAATCGCTTTCAAAAACGGGAAAAACTAAAAGGAATGACAGAGTGGAATGTCCATAGACTCTAACAGGGCCGTGGAATGCCCATATACCATAACAGAAGGAAAAGGAATGCCCGTAGAGAATAATGGAAACAAAGTATTTTAATTAGAGACAAACCTATTAGACATATCAAATAAATCTTTTGCAGTCATACTTACAAACAAAACTTAGAATTTGACTATATGTTGCTCAATCATAATTTACCTCTTTCATATTTCATGCACCCACACTTATATATAACATTTTGTTCATGAGAAACAGGGCCTTCATTTCGCGTCAAATATTTAGATATGAAACAATTTATTATGAATAAAATCTTTAAAAGTTTGAGAAATTAATACATTTTGGCAATTTTTTAGTTCTGCGTGCATTCTAACTGTGACTGTCATAATATTGTTCGTTTTTACTGTAATAAAACACACATATTTGTGTTCAGCAAAGTGTCCCCCAAGTAAAATAGTAGCCCCCATATACAGGTTTAATGGGGTTACAGGGTCATAGTTACAGGTGCTTAGCAGGGTTTAATTCAGACCGACACATAATAACAGCAAGTAATACATAACATAGTAAGGCACAGAAACATAATAATAATAAAACAGACTCAGATGTGTGCTGAAAAGGCTGTGGTCATTTATTTAGTTTACAAATTATACAAATGTAACAGCTGGTCTTTAACACTTAACACAAAACTCACCAGAGTTCTGCCCTATTAGCCAGAACTTAAACATAATGATAATGAAACTCAGCTAGTCCACCCCCCTTTAAATTAGGCAGGTGACCTCAACCCCACAAGCTGCAGCATGCAACTAATGCTGCAGCCCACCCCACCAGACCACGGCCTTATCAATCATGCACTGTAAATCATTATTACAAATATCCAAACCGGCATCAGATAAATGAATACCATCCCTTATAAACAAACCTTTGCACTGCCCCTCATTGTTGACATGGCGAAAAGAAAAACCACCAACTGATTGCATAAATTTCTCCATGGCTTTGTTGAGCTTGCGCCGAACTCTCTCTAGCAATTTAAGCTTAGTATTGTGCAACCAAATTAACCTTGGGACTATTTCAGACCAAATAATTAGCCAGTCCGTGAACATTTACTTAGAGTGAAAAACATCCTCCTTAAGTTGATGAAACAAAACCACTGACTTGACTCTGCCCACATCATTCCCACCATAATGAAAAATAATAACATGTGGCCAAGGAATTTGGCCAAAACAGCTTTGTAAAACTTTTAAAACATCATCCCTTAATAAACCATTTACACCAACCGAATAAATTAAAGCGGTCTCATTATCAAAACTCACATTCTCGCCATATGACCTCTCCACAGCTCTTCTATGTGCCCAGTGGATGAAAGAATGGCCTAATATCCATATAATCACAGGTCTTGTATCTGAAACAGAAAGAATCAAGTCAGCATAATAAAAGCATTAAAGGATGACTATAGGCACCCAGACCACTTCAGCTTAATGAAGTGGTCTGGGTGCCAGGTCCATCTAGGTTTAACCCTGCCTGCTGTAAACATAGCAGTTTCAGAGAAACTGCTATGTTTACATTAGGGTTAATCCAGCCTCTAGAGGCTGTCTCATTGACAGCCGCTAGAGGCGCTTCTGCGCTTCTCACTGTGATTTTCACAGTGAGAAGACGCCAGCGTCCACAGGAAAGCATTGAGAAATGCTTTCCTATGGACTGACTGAATGCGATGAAGTCGGAAGAGGGAGGAGAGTCCCCAGCGCCTGGTACTGGAGAAAGGTAAGTGTTTAACCCCTTCCTCCCCCTAGAGCCTGGTGGGAGGGGGACCATGAGGGTGGGGGGGACCTATTAACACTATAGTGCCAGGAAAACGAGTTTGTTTTCCTGGCACTATAGTGGTCCTTTAAGGTCTAACATAAATTTTAAATCTGCTCGAGGACCATCGACCCACTTTCTTAACCGACTCATTCAAGAGACCATGTGATACAGCCTCTGTTGCAGCACCTTTACGAAATGAATGAGATGTAATCCTTTTATCATCAATATCCAACCCTTTACATGATAACTGAAGAACTTTTCAAAATTTACCTTTACCTTGCGCACCAGCCACTTATAACGTGGCCCACCTACCTGCCCTAACTCCTGATAGATCAGGAAAAGCACCCACTAACATGCGGTTCTTGGACATATCATTTGATGGCACAATTTACTTAGACTGCACAAACCAGTGGCTAAACCGATATCCGTACTGAACACGGACCTCAAACTTCTGGCGAGCGTACTGGCGGCACGCCTGGCTCCTTTACTACCAGCCACAATCCACCCAGATCAAACGGGCTTCATCCCAGGCAGGGAGGTGAGGGACAACACTATAAGGGCCCTAAACCTCATAGCACACGCGAGAGGGCAGAAGACCCCAGTACTACTCCTGTCCACTGACGCAGAGAAAGCGTTTGATAGGGTGGACTGGGACCTGATGTTTGAAACACTCCGCTCCCTGGGCATCGGCCCACACTACATGGCCTGGGTACAGACACTCTACACCGACCCAACGGCACGAATCTGGATCAATGGTGCACTAACAGACCTGTTTAAGATCCACAACGGAACCAGACAGGGCTGCCCGCTTTCGCCCATACTCTTTGCGCTGACGCTGGAGCCCTTCCTAAGCAGGATCAGACAAAACGAGGACGTCCGGGGACGGACAGTCGGAAACACACACCACAAAACTCTGGCATATGCGGATGACATGCTGTTCGTGGTCACGGACCCTGAAAAATCGCTGCGAGCGATACAGAGAGAATTCGACATATATGGCCGCATCTCGAACCTCCGAATCAACTACACAAAATCGGAGATACTGAACTTAAATATTAGCAACACACTCAAGCTAATGATTCAGAGACAACAACCATATCGCTGGTGTGATTACCGCATTAAATATTTGGGGATCTGGCTCACACCTGACCCGGGGGATTTATACACCCATAACTACCTCCCAATATTAAAAAAAGCAAAGGAGGAATTACATAGATGGGGCTCCTACTACATATCCTGGCTGGGCAGGGTGAACGTGGTAAAAATGACGCTGCTACCGAAGCTACTCTTCATATTTCAAACAGTACCGATAAGAGCCCCACAAACGTTCTTCGCGACACTCAAGACGGAGGTCCGCACTTTTATCTGGAATGGCAAATCTCCGCGCATAGCGCACACCCAACTGATCCTGCCCAAGCTCAGGGGGGGCCTAGCGCTCCCCGACTTTGAAAAATACTACCACGCGGCACACATCGCCAGAGTCGTCAGTTGGTCGGTAGCCAGCGGCACCAAACCATGGACACAACTAGAAGCAGACACGACCAGCTGTGACCTCAGAACCCTACCATGGATCACCAGGGCAGCGTACAGGAGCAAACATATCACCAACCCATTCGTGGCGGCGACCATGCAAGTTTGGCACGGACAAGGCACAAAACATTACCTGACAACAGACCCAGGCCTGCTCCTGCCCCTAAAGGGAAACCCAGACTTCCCAGCAAGGGACTACGGCCCCACGCCAGGCCCTGCGGGACATACAACAATACCCCGCATTAAAGATGTCCTCCTCCACCCGTTCGACATCCGACCACTGGTAGACATCTACCCAGGCAGACCACACACATTCGCTCACACTCTAGCAAGAGTACAAAATTACCCAATACGCTAGATCCATCCCGCAACAACCATCCATTACAAGTGAACCAACCCAATTCGAAAATCTCTGCACACAAGACAAAGAACCACCGCGAGCCATCTCACAAATATATACTATCTTAATAACGAACAGATACCTACTAGCGCCACCGTGCATCAGAAAGTGGGAGGAAGACCTTGAGGAAACCATGACGGAAGCGGACAGAAGCATCACCCTGATACAAAAAACACCAAGCTCGGCGCGCACACAAGAAAACTCGTACAAGATATTTACCAGATGGTACCTGACACCGACGGCACTCCACGCCAGGAACCTGGGAAATCCCAGAAACATGCTGGAGATGCGAGGAGGAGACCGGTACATTCACACACATATGGTGGACATGCACCCGCATTAGACCGTTCTGGGAAAGAATCCGGACGATAATACATGAGGTTACGGATGAGCTCCTGCCACAGTCCCCAGCCACTTTCCTTCTACACTATACCACTATGGCGACACCAACATACAAGAGATCTGTTATTCCCAGACTCCTAAACGCGGCAAAGGTGACCATCCCCATCTGTTGGAAACAAACCAGCACGCCTTCCATAACAAAGTGGATAGAGGAGGTTGAAGCCACAAGGACATTCGAGGACATGAAAGCAGAAACTGCGAACCTCAGAGACCGTCACACCAAACGCTGGTTCCACTGGACGAGGCTAACTACGTCAGAATCCTTCAGACATCACCTAACTGCGCCGTAAGCGGAGACGGGAGGACGAGGGAGAGAGAAATACAAAAAAACGAACTGAAGACAGCGAGACACGGCGAGCCGGGCGGGCGACAGGAGGCGGGCCGCGGACCACCTGATCCACCCCATCCTGACCCGCACCCAGTCAGCACCATGCCACAATGACAACCGACGACACCTGAGACAAACATACTGCCTACAGACACAACAACATTCGCGAGCCACACACATAGCCACCTCCTGGGCTACAATCACGAACAGGGACAACTAGTCATATAGCTACTACATTAACGGACGCCAAATAACACCACACAGGACCACATCCTAGAACTAACATCACACCACACCCAACCCCTTGACACACAAGACAACAACAAAACCGATGCTAGCACAGTAAGAGCGACAATAGGTACACAACAACACACGTATCTAAAGACTACAAAACAAGTAAATAATCCCTAGATGCCTCTATGAAGGCAACAACCCGATCCCCCTCACATGTACGGCTGACTACGCCTCTGCACAGACACCTATCTTAAACACAAAGACGTATACTTTAGAATCTATACTGTAAAACCAATAAACATATTCTAAACAAAATCGGCACACACGCACTGAAAACCAGACATCCAGGCAGGCTACAATGCAATAGGACCGAGGGACACTCAACATTTAGAACCCACAAACCATCGAGGTACTCTATATTACACGCTGGCGCACCCTAGCTCACTAAACTGAATAGTCGCACCGAGTACAGCGATAAATACAGTACAGAAATGGACGCGCATGACCATGAAACACCAAGCTACACAAGGCAACGGATATTCAGACACACGGGTAGTTAGCAGACACATGTACCAGAGCACAACCGCATTGAAAGTCATGTTTCAGTGTTTGCAGATGACACCAAACTTTGTAAAACAATACAATGTGAGCAAGATATTACTTTGCTGCAGAGGGACTTAGATAGACTGGGGGACTGGGCACTCAAATGGCAGATGAAATTTAATGTTGAAAAATGCAAAGTTATGCACTTCGGCGTAAAGAATACACAAGCAACGTATACCCTTCATGAAAGCGAATTAGTGATAACACATGAAAAGGACTTGGGAATTGTTATAGACAACAAACTATGCAACAATGTGCAATGTCAATCAGCAGTGGCCAAGGCCAGTAAGGTATTGTCATGCATGAAAAATGGCATTCATTCTCGGGACAAGAATATAATTTTGCCTCTTTATAAATCACTGGTAAGACCCCATATTGAATATGCTGTGCAATTTTGGGCACCTGTTCTAAAGAAGGATATTATGGCACTAGAAAAAGTGCAGAGGCGGGCTACAAAATTAATAAAAGGAATGGAACATATCGGCTATGAAGAAAGGTTAACAAATTTAAACCTATTTAGTTTAGAAAAACGTCGCCTGAGAGGGGATATGATAACATTATACAAATATATTCGGGGCCAATACAAACCATTGTGTGGAAATCTATTCACAAACCGGACTTTACATAGGACACGAGGCCATGCGTTTAGACTGGAAGAAAGAAGATTTCGTCTAAGGCAAAGGAAAGGTTTTTTTACTGTAAGAACAATCAGGATGTGGAATTCTCTGCCTGAAGAAGTGGTTTTATCAGAGTCCATACAGATGTTCAAACTGCTACTAGATGCATACTTGCAAGAACAGAATATTCAAGGATATAATCTTTCAATGTAGGGTAATAACTGCTTGATCCAAGGATAAATCTGACTGCCATTCTGGGGTCAAGAAGGAAATTTTTTTCCTAGCTTGTTGCAAAATTGTGCTTCAAACTGGGTTTTTTTGCCTTCTTTTGGATCAACAGCAAAAAACAAATGTGAGGTAGGCTGAACTTGATGGACGCAAGTCTCTTTTCAGCTATGTAACTATGTAACAACAGGACAAGGTTAAACGTCAGATAAAAGCCGCATAGAGGGGACACAAATAGGAAGCTAACAGACTGAATGCCATTAGCAGAGAAGCAAGATACAATAAACACGCTGCTAGGGCACCCCGGGTTTAGACACAACACAACACACCAGCAAAAAGTCACGGAACCTGCAGGCACAAACAATTAATATGCCCAAGGCAGAAACACCCAAAACCATATACGCCTGTGCAAGCGCAATAAAGGCACACTACAAGTCGTATACAGATGTTCAAACGGCTACTAGATGCATACTTGCAAGAACAGAATATTCAAGGATATAATCTTTCAATGTAGGGTAATAACTGCTTGATCCAAGGATAAATCTGACTGCCATTCTGGGGTCAAGAAGGAAATTTTTTCCTAGTTTGTTGCAAAATTGTGCTTCAAACTGGGTTTTTTTGCCTTCTTTTGGATCAACAGCAAAAAACAAATGTGAGGTAGGCTGAACTTGATGGACGCAAGTCTCTTTTCAGCTATGTAACTATGTAACAACAGGACAAGGTTAAACGTCAGATAAAAGCCGCATAGAGGGGACACAAATAGGAAGCTAACAGACTGAATGCCATTAGCAGAGAAGCAAGATACAATAAACACGCTGCTAGGGCACCCCGGGTTTAGACACAACACAACACACCAGCAAAAAGTCACGGAACCTGCAGGCACAAACAATTAATATGCCCAAGGCAGAAATACCCAAAACCATATACGCCTGTGCAAGCGCAATAAAGGCACACTACAAGTCGGATACAGATGTTCAAACGGCTACTAGATGCATACTTGCAAGAACAGAATATTCAAGGATATAATCTTTCAATGTAGGGTAATAACTGCTTGATCCAAGGATAAATCTGACTGCCATTCTGGGGTCAAGAAGGAATTTTTTTCCTAGCTTGTTGCAAAATTGTGCTTCAAACTGGGTTTTTTTGCCTTCTTTTGGATCAACAGCAAAAAACAAATGTGAGGTAGGCTGAACTTGATGGACGCAAGTCTCTTTTCAGCTATGTAACTATGTAACAACAGGACAAGGTTAAACGTCAGATAAAAGCCGCATAGAGGGGACACAAATAGGAAGCTAACAGACTGAATGCCATTAGCAGAGAAGCAAGATACAATAAACACGCTGCTAGGGCACCCCGGGTTTAGACACAACACAACACACCAGCAAAAAGTTACGGAACCTGCAGGCACAAACAATTAATATGCCCAAGGCAGAAACACCCAAAACCATATACGCCTGTGCAAGCGCAATAAAGGCACACTACAAGTCGTATAGCTATACACTACGAGCAAATAAATATGCATATATCTGCTGTATCATACATGCAATGACCAACCAGCCTCTGCGTAGGCGACGAAATGCAAACAAATGTATGTACTGAAAACTTACGCCCCTGCGTGGGCAACCTATGCCTCAATACTCACAAAGATGCTACCTGCATATGTGTTACGACAACAATAAATATATTCAAAACAAACCAGTGGCTAATTATATAAAAGAATTAAAAGCTAAAGCCTCATAATACCTAACATTAAACCACATATCTCCCTTGATGTAACAATTAAGGTACCTAGAACAACAACAAAAAAAGGGGGGGGAATAAAATATCAATCAGCTCCACGTCCTTTCAGCAGAGAACGAAAACATAGCGCACATAGCCACATGCGCATATCTTAATTAATTACTCTACAATGCCAGTTTTGCCGATACTAAGCTTAGTAAGCCTAGCTAGCCCTGATACGTAAGCGCTTCTAATTTTTTATAGTACACTACTGTACCACATTTCAGCATAGCTAACCGTTTTGGTTGTCAGATTAAATAAAATGTACTGTTATATGTGTTTTTAGACAATAATGTTAATCAATCTTGTTACCTTTTCTACTACTACAAAAAAGTGCAGCGTACCATGTCATTTATCTGTACAACATCTGTCATGTCATGTCATCCATCGCTATTGTCTTAAGTAGTTAACTCTGCACTTTGAAAAATAAAGAATTAATAAATTTTAAAAAAAAAGACTACCTTGACCCTTTGGACGAATACTTAAATAAACCCTGACTGCCTTAACTGGGCATAACGAATGATGTATAGCTTGTAACTGAACCCATTGACCTTTCCCTCGCTGGTCAGTTTTTGATCTTCTTAATAAAAATGTTAAAAAACCATCTTGTAAATGTACGTAAATGTAGGCTGCCTTTTTTTTTTGCTGCATTTATAATTGTGATTATTGCTTTTATTGTTAGGTCCCTGAGATAGTCCTATATCTCTAGGACGAAACGCGTAGGACCTACCGTACAGTCACTATTTGTTTTTAAGAATTTTATGCTGTACCAATTAAAGCTGCTATTTTTCAACGTACCACCTGGAGTCCTGCATCTTAGTGGTGAATATCCAGCGAAGTGGATCATAGCCCCCATTACCATCCGGGGAGCCACCTTATATATGCCTGATAACGCTACTATATTGTGAGTGCCTTTGATTACAATAATTCGATTAATGTGGATTTACACTATGTTTCGTAAATTTTTTCATTTTTAGATAATCAGCTGGTTCCCTATTTTCTGTATATATTCTTTGATTGATGTGGGATCGCTGACTGGGGGTGATCCAAGGGAGGCTGACACTTAACGATTGATAAGTATTATTCATTATCACCTTTATATATTATAATTAGGGTGATTTTGCATTTAGCTCTTGACATATGTCTGGAAAAAGCCCTAGCCATTGGCATTACTTTTGAAGCAAAATTTTGTAAACCTAACAGAGACTGAAATTTATTTACTGTCGTTTTATTAACATCTAATAAATGAGAAATTTCGGGCTTCATTCTGACAATTTTATCTTAAGGCAAACGAAACTCCATTCACTCAGAATCAATAATTATACCTAAAAATTGTAAACATATACCAAGCCCAGGGCCGGATTAACATAGGGGCTGATGGAGCTGCAGCTCCAGGCCCAGGCCCATGGAATAGGCCCACTGATTTAAAAAAAAAAAAAAAAAAAAAAAAAAAAAATTTTTTTATTTTTTTACATTTTTTTTGTCACACACTACTCTTAGGGATTCCACCTGGCTTTTATTTTATTGGCACAGCCAGTATTTGAGGCTGCCTGGCTGGTGCCAATATTGCAGCGATACTGGCAATACAAATGCTGGTATTTTTATCAGTGTAAACAAGAGATTACTATGCAATACCAGCACTGGCCAGTAGAGGTCACTGTGTGTGGAGACAGGCAGGGATAGGAAGTTCCAGCATATCCCTCCCTGCCTATCTATACTCACTGATCTGCAGGGGTGCAGCTACAGAGAGTCCAGACAGCAATTCCCACCCTGCAGAGACATCCTACAGCTCAGGGAAGTAAGGGATGGGGGGAAAGGCTGCAAGGAGACATACACTGAGACACTAAGGGACACTGGGAGATATTATGACACAGACACATGGGGACACAGTGTGCCCATGTCTCCAAGCCAGTGCCCCTGGTGTCTCAGTGCCCCCATAGTCTCCCAGTGCCCCCAGTCAGCCAGTGTCTCACTGTCCCCATGTCTCCTAGTGCCTCCATGTCTCTCATTGCCTCAAGTGTCCCAATGTCCCCATGTCTCCAAGCCAGTGCCCCTGGTGTCTCAGTGCCCCCATATTCTCCCAGTGCCCCCAGTCAGCCAGTGTCTCACTGTCCCCATGTCTCCTAGTGCCTCCATGTCTCTCATTGCCTCAAGTGTCCCAATGCTAGTGTCCCTAGTGTCTGTGGACCCGGTGTCTCTGTGTCCCCATGTCTCAATGTCCCCATGTCTCCAAGCTAGTGTCTCTAGTGTCTGTGTCCCCATGTCTTCAAGTGTCCCCTGGGGCACTGAGACACTGATACATAGGAACACTGAGACCTGGAGTAATTGACACATGGGGGCACTGAGTCATGAGGGCACTGGGAGGAATCCATCTATACAGCAGAATCAAATTAAGTAGTTTTTGGTGATTCTACAGCATTTTCTCTTATGTCACTCCTTGTGATTTACATCATGTGATGTCAGCCATACATATTTTATTATGCAAATTAGTAAGGCCGGTATGTTTTTCCAAGAAAGGTGGCAACCCTAACTACTTTTCACATACTCTTAAGTATGGAAACTTAAGAGGGATGTATGGGAACAAAACTTGTGTGGACTGGCTGACAATGAATATAGTTAAAGGGACACTATAGTCACCAGAACAACTACAGCTTATTGAATTTGTTCTGGTGAGTAGAATCGTTACCGTCAGGCTTTTTGCTGTAAACACTGTCTTTTCAGAGAAAATGCAGTCTTTACATTACATCCTAGTGATAACTTCACTGGCCACTCCTTAGATGACTGTTAGAGATCCTTCCTGGGTAATGGCTGCCTAAAATGCATCCAAACATTCAGTGTCTCCTCCGTCTGCATGCATACACTGAACTTTCCTCATAGAGATTAATTAAATTAATCTATATAAGAAGATGATGATTGGCCAGGGCTGTGTTTGAATCATGCTGGCTCTGACCCTGATCTGCCTCTTTGTCAGTCTCAGCCAATCCTATGGGGAAGAACTGTGATTGGATCAGGCCACCACTTCTAATGATGTCAGCAGACTGCTTGTTTTTATGAGTCTAACAGCATGTAGAGTTACAGCTTCAGGCTTGAATATAGTAAGATTTTGCTATATTAATGGAGGCATGAGGGGCCCAGGGGGCTAGATGGTGGTGTTAACACTATAGGGTCAGGAATTCATGTTTGTGTTCCTGACCCTATAGTTATCCTTTAAGGTAATGCTGACTTTGGTCTCTCTAACACTGTGGCATGTTCCCTTTCTTCTACACTCACTACATACAGCTTTTCTCTGTCCCATACCATGTACCAGGAGCTTCTGCCTGCTAGTAAGAAGGTAAGGAGACAAGTGGACTAGCGAGTGCTAGGGGACCGTCCTTAGAAAGCGTTGAGTGAGCGCATCATTAGATGCATTTATGCCAAGCTCAGGGTGCTGTCTGCATAGTATGCCCTAAGTTGGCCAGCTGCATGATTGGCAGGCAGCCTGACATGCATTCATGCCAGGCTGGCCTTCTAATTCTTTGAGCAGACATGTCCTCTTTTTGGGCATGTTCGCACCTTTTGGCAGGTTAAGTGATTTGTGTCAGTGGCACAACCTTTTACCATGCCCATTTACTTCCTGCTTGACTGGACACTGCTGTTAGGAATTATGGATTTACTTGAAAGATGAAAACATAAATTAGAGAGAGATTAGCCTAGGGTATGTGTTTTTCTTATAGCTGCTGTTTTTTCTTTCTCTTCAGCACCATCTCCATCAGGTATATGATGCTTGGGAGTGTTTTACTGTTTTTGGTCAATATGATTTTGTAATTAGGCCCGTCATAATTGTCAGCACCAGGCCCACTGGGCTCTTAATCTGGCCCTGACCAAGCCAACCTGTCTTTTATTTTGCCAATGGAATGCCAAATTGTTGAGCAATGGACATGAAAATTTGTAGTAAATGAAAGCAATCAGAAGATTCAGCTTTCCCAATAAAAAAGAAAATCATCCAAATAATGAATAACTGAATGTAAACCTGAAACCTTTTTAAGAACCCATTCCAAAAAACTTTCAAAATAAAAACAAGAAGCAGAACAACCCATAGGCATACATTTGTCAAAATAAAATTCTCCTTTGAATTGAAAACCCAACGAACCAAAACAGTCTGAATGTACAGGAAGTAACCTAAAAGCTGATTCAATGTTGACTTTTGACATAAGAGCATTCTGACCACACTTCCTTACCCATTTCAGCACATCTTCAAAGGAAGTGTAAGACAGAAATAATTGAGGTATCCACCTCATCATTCAACGATGTACCTTTCGGGTAAGACAGATGGTGAATTAATCTATAGGTACCTTTTTTCTTGTAGGGAACTAAACCAAGTGGCGACACCCTAAAATATGAAAAAGGCAGAACTGAAAACGGGCCTGCCACCTATTTCTCTATCAATCTTATTGCTAACTATACTAGTATTCAACTTAATTGAACTAAGATTTTCAACAAACTGAACTGATGGACTACAAACAGGACCACTATAGGCACCCAGACCACTTCAACTTTATGAAGTGGTCTGGGTGCCAGGTCCAGCTAGGGTTAACCCTTTTTTTATAAACATAGCAGTTTTTATAAACATAGCATAAAAAATGCTTTCCTATGAACTGGCTAAATGCGCGCGCGGCTCCTGCCGCGCATGCGCATTCAGCCGATGACGTTGCTATGAAGGAGGAGAGGAGGAGGAGAGCTCCCCGCCCGGCGCTGGAGAAAGGTAAGATTTTAACCCCTTCATCTCCTCAGAGCCCGGCGGGAGGGGGACCCTGAAGGTGGGGGCACCCTCAGGGCAGTATAGTGCCAGGAAAATGAGTATGTTTTCCTGGCACTATAGTGGTCCTTTGATTAGCTGCACTATCTGCTGGTTTGGATAGCATTTTAAATAAGCTTTTGTACTTTCACTGGGGTCCATGTTCATAGAAATCTGCTCCCTGGCGGTAGCACCCTTCCTCTTAAAGCAATGAAAGGACGGATGACTCCCCGCACAATTAATGCATCAGAACCTGCAAGAATTTGGCCATTTACACTGTGACTCATTAAAAGACAACAAACACCTTTTGGGCGTATTTGCAACCCACTAGCCTGAGTCTGTGATCTATATTAATTCTGAAGAATCCTGCTTGGTAGCATAATGCTTACCCAAGAACCAACATCCTTCATACCCCATTTCAAATTTGTATGCACTGATAATTTCTGATGAAATATTTTGTCATAATTGAACCAAGCCAATCCACCGAAATCTTTGAAAGCCTCTAATTTAGCGTCTAGATGATGAAAAAGACAGCTAGCTTTATTTGCATGCTGTTCACAATGCACACTAGCAAAAATACAAAACAGCTGAAGCCAATTATTAAAGGGACGGGTTACCGGTCGTTTCCTGTCCTCATCTCTTTCTTATATATACTGATAATTTGCAACTGAACACCAGCTACTTGTGTAGGTGCTCTAATTGCAATAAAAACAACTAAAGTACCAAAAAAGAGACTCCATGGGTCTCAAGGGGCTTAACCCCGGGAATAGAGAAAAAATATATATAAAGAAAAACACAATGCTTATCACAATATCAAAGAAAATTGTGACTCGCTGTGTATCCTGGAGATGTACAGTAGTCTAAATCGAAATACTTAAATAGTATTAGGATATCCATAAAAGGTGAGGGTTATAAAATAAAAATAAAGTGCCTAAATGCTCCACAATATATGGAAAATATATAGATATTAGGATTATATCAGGTATCCACTATGAGCTTTATTATATCTGGCTCAGTGGGTAACCGCAATGCTATCTATATAAAATCTAATATATTAACTAAAAAACAAAGAGAAACAAAATACTCTAAAGTGCTACCTCTAATTAGCACAATAAACACTCCATATTAGCATACATATCCAATGTTGCCAAAAAAGATCCTCTATAGTAAGGTCTAAAGATTTAATTATCAATTAGTGCTGGATTGGTAATGCTGGTAATATTATAATCCAAAAAATACACATATCAGAGAATAAAATAAAAGGAAATAAAGTATATACAAGACTTCAAGAAATAAAAGAGTCTTGTCTCTCTATATATGTCTAATGGAAGTAAATGAAGGAGTGTTAGATATAGATGTCATGATGCTTAGAATGCTCAATGATACAGCTATAGACAGATAAATAAAGTATAGAGTATATAGTTATAAGAAGGTAAAGGAATGTAGATGGTATAGTAATAGAGATATACTGCATATCAAATTTGCAGTGACAGATAGTAATAACCAATCTCTCCCTTCCCATATACACTTCTAAGCAAAAAGTGGAGCAGACTAGATTAAACAAAAAATAAACATAGAAAATCCTATAGGGCAAGCTAAATATCATGCCGTGATATGTGTTAAGTGCCCATACATGAAAAAATAATAAAAATAAAATGCCTGACGCGCGTTTCGGTACTGTGAAGCCAGCACCTTCGTCACAGGCAAACAAGCTGTAAATGAAAAAGCTCTTAAATACCTTATTCTCCCAACATCTGAATCCTTATGCAGCCAATCAGGATAGTGTGTTCACGCCGGAAAATCTATGCTTCTCGCGCCAAAACATTAAGAAGGCGGGGCCAGCCAGTTCACGTGATCACAAATCACGTGAGATTAACATGATTGAGCTATCCAAGTCTGCCTGTATGTTTACGTGTGCACTGAATAATAAGGAGGTTAGCACCCCCTTGTGGTCAATGAACAAAACAAAAGACAAAATACATTTAAAAGTTTTGTATCAACTAGGTAATTTAGGCATAAATTTGCTACAGTATAGTTGCATTAATATAAGAACAGATGTCTAGCACACTCTGTCTGTTGCTCCATATATTGATACAATTGTATTTTAGTAGAGCAAGAGATATTGATGTAAACCTGCCATGTAGACAAATAGAGCTCAAGATGATACTATTACCAATTTACACATATTTACCAGAACTTTACGTGTATATATTACCAAATGCAAGGAGGGGTTATACAATCCTCATTTTATAAAGTCTTAGTACCAATATTGTTTTATCCAGTAAGCATTCTTTTAGCCTCTAATCTTAGTATAACAAAATATGAAGTCATATTATCCATACAGGTCAAACATAGGAAAAAAGGAAACAAAAATAAAAATCCAATTGTATACAGATAAAATCTGTAATAGTATTAACCCCTCAAGGACACATGACATGTGTTACATGTCATGATTCCCTTTTATTCCAGAAGTTTGGTCCTTAAGGGGTTAAATGGGGAATATGGATCTATATGAGGTATGAAAGACATCTTAATAGGGATCCCAAATTCAGTATATATCTTAAAAATTACACAAAATATCGCATTAAGAAATACTTATTTACATTATATACAGGTGTATCATGAAAATAATATTAAAGCCAACTAAAAATGAAATAGTAAAATAAAAAATAATACATTAATTAAATAATCATAATGGTAAATAAATTAATCAGAGATAAATGGTGTATAGGAGAAGCCCTCATTTAATCCAAGGGGTGAGAGAGCTTTCAACGTATATATCTAGAAGCTCTCTCTCTGTAACAGTTTCCTATCAAGATCACCACCTCTGGGTCCAAGTGTGACTCTTTCTATGCCACAGAAGCGTATACCTTCTGCAGAGCCCCCATTATGTAATTTAAGATGCTTTGAAATTGGGGTATCTACCAATCTTCTCAGGTTAACAAAAGTTACGTGTTCACAAATCCTGCATTTAAAGGCACAAATAGTTTTGCCAACATATAGTTTCTTACATGAGCATGTTAGCAAATAAATAAGGCATTTAGATTGGCAATTGAAGAATGTTTTGACCTTAAAGTCATACGTATTTGTGGAGCCTGAAATTTTCTTGGAGGGGCAAAGAATAAATCTACAGGCTTTACATCTGCCACATTGATATGTGCCAGATACGGAAGATTTAAGCCATGTAGAGTTGTTTTTAGAGGGAGTTTTCAGATGACTCGGTACCAGCATATCTTTTATATTTCTTCCTCTCCTTGCTGTTACAGATGCATGTGGTGTTATTACTTTCTGTAAATGAGGATCTTGGAGTAAAAGTGGCCAAAATCTCCTAAGGATTTCCAGCATTGGATGCCAACCAGCATCAAAATTGACAATACATCTTATTGTCTGTGCATTCTCCCTAGTATGATCATCTGTCAAGTGACCTTTCCTGTCAGTCATTAATGCATGTTTATATGCATTCTTGAGACATCTGTTTGGGTATCCCTTACTTTTAAACTGTTCTCTCAGTGCCTTAGCTTTGCACTTAAAGTCTTCAATCATCAAACAATTGCGGCGTAGACGTAAGTACTGGCCTACTGGAATTCCTCTTTTAAGAGGAAGTGGATGATAACTCTTCCAGTTCAAAAGATTATTTGTTGCAGTAGGTTTTCTATACAATGTGGTAGTTACGTTACCTTGGTCTGTGATCATGATTGATATATCCGAAAAAGTAATCTTTTTACCACCCATTTCAAATGTCAGTTTAAGGTTAATGTTGTTATGATTTAAAGTCTCAACAAATTCCTTAAAAAGGACAGCTATGGGGACGGCTTGTGCCCCCTCATATGCCAACCTCCACCTGGGGTGGTGGGAAAGGACTATTATGTTTGGTGCCCAACTTGCTAAATATACCAAATATAATAGCATTTGGAAACGCTATATCGATGATATAGTGATAGTCTGGAATAGCGTCACAGAACTTTTTAAGGAATTTGTCGAGACTTTAAATCATAACGACATTAACCTTATTGGTTCGGATCTTTGTTTGCAAACTGGGATAAAAATCATTCTTGGGGAATCCTCATATGCCATTGGGCCCATCTTGTAAGGCCTATTGTAGAGAACAAGATGTCGTTGAGATAATGGAATATTGAAATGCCTTCCATACGGATATGGGCTATAAAGGAAACAAGGATCTTTGAGAAAGTTCTGGGAGCTTTGCTCAAGCCAAAGGGGAGAGCCTGAAATTGGAAATGCTGGTGGCGAATTGCAAACCTCAGGAACTTCTGGTGTGGTGGAGGAATCGGAATGTGAAAATAAGCGTCTCGAAGGTCTATGGAGATTAATCAGTCACCTGGGGAGATGGCTTTGATAATGGAACTTAAAGATTCCATCTTGAATTTTCTGACACACAGATCTGCGTTTAGCTCGTGAAGATCTAAAATCGGTCTCCATTCCCCCGATGCCTTTGGAGTGAGGAATAGTCTGGAATAGACTCCCAATCCTTTTTCTTTTGCAGGAACAGGACAAATGACTCCTTCTGCTGAAAGGGAAGAAACAAAAGAACGAATGGCTGCTGCTTTCTCTGGTTCCAGAGGAATGCTTGTAGACATGAACTGAGGATGCGGGATAGTGGAGAATTCCAGGAAATAGCCGGACTTTAGGATCTTTAGCACCCACTTGTCCTGTATTGTTTGAGCCCAGACCTCGTAGAAGTGAAGAAGTTTTGCTCCCACACTCAAGTCCTGGACTGGCGTCCCATCAGAATTGCTTTGACTGTCTGGTACTGCCACCTCGTCCCTGGGAGTTTTTGGAAGAAGAATATCCACCTTTCCAAGATTGGAATCTGGAAAATTCTTTACCAGGCCTGTATCTTCTAAATTCCTAATCCCTAAAGGAACATCTGTCCTGTGGAAAAGATCTTTTAGGACGTCTATCTTGAGGAAGAAAGGCATTACGTCCTTCCACTGCCTTTTTAATACATTCATCCAGATATTTTCAAAAGAGCATATCCCTTTTTGAAGAAGTATCTGCCACCCAATAACGTAGCCAAAGAGCACGTCTTGATGCTACTGTCAGGACCATGCTTCTGGAGATGGATCTCACCAAATCTATAGAAGCTTCCAATGAAAATTCAATAGCCAATTTAACTTTTTTCAAAGATTCCAACAGCCTGGATCTACTGACTTCACATGAAATGTCAACCTCTAGATCGCCCATCCAATGCTTTAAGGCCCTGGAAACGGATGTGAAGGCTACAGCAGGACGAAACCCAGAGCTAGAGGCAATATAGGCTTTGGATAAGTTCGAATCCATACATTTATCCATGGGATCATGTAAAATACCAGCATCATCCACTGGAAGGGTGGTCTTTTTGGCTAATCGGACAGTTGCTGCATCCACTTTGAGGGCAAGATCCCAAGAAATACTGTCATCAAATTTAAAAGGGTAAAGTTTAGAAAAACGACCTTGGATAGAAACTCTTTTCTCAAGTTTTCCATTTTTGCTTAATAAGGTCTTCAATGGCCTCATGCAATGGAAAAGTAGGATTGCGCTTTCTTAGGTCTGCAAAATGCTTACTAGAAGCTGGTTCTTTCTCTCTCTTATCACTAAGATCTAAGGTATCACAAACTGCCTTGATTAGAGCTTCAATTTTAATGTTGTCTATAAAGACAGGAATGGCCCCAGACTCTTCATCTTGAGATGAAAATTCGTCTTCTTCAAATACTGGGGGCATATATTCATCAGAGCTGAAATCAGCATATTTTTCCGGGCTAAAAGAGCTACGTCTTTTCTTTGCCATCTCAGACTGCCGAAGACCCTCTGAAACTGCTTGACGGATGTAAGAGAGAACATCTGGATCCGATTCTGCATTTTGACTCCATCTTAGGAGGGCAGCTAGAAAATGAAAAACAAAGTTTCTAGCAATCAAAAAATAAATTACATAATTTACCTATAAATTACATAATTTACCTATAAATTACCTAAAGGAATAAAAAACAATAACGAAGGAACTCGATTCCTTATCATTTTAAATCAAATGAATTAAAAATATCACTTCCCTGCAGCCAGGATAGAATATGCTCACTTCAGAGATACAGGGATCCAGGAACCTACAGAGGGAAATCCAAATGGCACTTACCCCTTTAAATTAAAGAAACAGGAACCCGGGAAGTAAAATTCCCTTGTAACTGGCCTCACTCCGGTGTGCGTTCCACGACCGGAGTGAGGAACGTGATAGGCTGAAAACCCGGAAGTGCCGAAGCCCAGAAGTGCCGGAAAGAGAACGCGCGCAATTGGTGTGCATTCCAATATGCGTTCTAGAACTGGAACATGCAACACAGAGGGGAAAAAAAGTGAAAGGGAGAAGAAAAGGCAATGAAAAGCCCCCCGGTCAGGCAAAATATTTACAGGAACTGCCACTTATATCAACAGGTGAAAAGCCTTCATGGGAAAGCCAAGATGCCCAACTTATGCAGCAAGTAGGTGTACCCTTCTTTGAGAATTACTACCACAATGGGTCTGGCACATCCAGCTGCTACCCATAGGGTCACTGCAGCATAGCTCCCCGGTCGCTGAGGGGCGAATCCTCCAGGGGGTCGCCCGTGCTGAGGTGCCGTGTCCGGAGGCTTCCATGGGGAGAGAGGCTGAAGTCCCCATGGGCAAGGGGTACAATTAGACCCGAGTAAGCCACAAAATAAAAAAGAGGAGATGAAACATCCTATAGTCATGAGAAGTGGACAGGAAAAATTTAGAAGGTGGTTCCTGTCCAATTGAGAAGGGGAGGAGCTATACCCATACGTAGTGCTGCCATGGATATATCCAGGGAAATATATATATATATATATATATATATATATACATATATATATATTTGAAGGCTTGGCCTGTAGTTGTGGGAGGGGCTTGGTTCCCCTTTAAAAGGGCTGCCAATCCACTCCCACCTTACCACTTTTCCGCCGCAAAAACCGTAAGTCAGGCCCGCCGTAAAGCAACCGCCGCAAATTCCCTTGCTTTACACGGCGGAGCCCGTTCGTTTCAAAAGAGCATTCGGTTCTTTTCCTTTCATGCATTATGCCATTCGACTAATTCCCTCATCTACTTGCATGTTTCACTTTTTTCTAAGCTAACGAACGCTATCATTCGGTTATATTTATATAACATTTTTTTTTCAGCTTTTTACGATTACCACCGTTCCTTTTCTGCAAAGGTGGCTGCAGCTCTGGCTCAGTTCAATTTAAGCATTAATTGGAGCAAATTGGACACTGAGTTATTCTGCAGGCATTTTGCAGGGTTCAGGCCTCCAGCTTGTGCAGTTTGTGCATCTACAGCACATCACACAAATTTCTGCCCAAACACAGCAGAAATCGAACAAAACCAGACTACCTCTAACTTTCCAAAATCTGCTAGGGGATTACAAGACAAACTGGGTAGGGATATTGTATTTCTAGGTAAATCCCAGGTTTGCAATAACTTTAATGCAGGGAATTGTGGTTTCAGCTCTTGTAGGCTGATGCATGTATGTTCCCATTGTTTCAGGGCCCATGCCAAAACTATGTGCCCAAATAAAGCGTTCCCCAAACCGTATCACACGTGTGTGAACATCACATTATTGACCTCGTAATTACAACTACACCCGTCACGTCATTTCACGGACTATATTATTAGGGGAATGACTGAAGGGTTTCACACCGGGTTGGTCCATTTACCCTCCGGTACACTGGAATGCGACAACCTACAATCCACGTTAGACGATCCACAGTTGGTAAACACTCTTATCTCGACCGAGGTGAAACAAGGGTTTCTGTTGGGGCCATTCTTTTCCCCACCCTTCACATCTTGGAGAACCAATCCCATTGGGGTGGTCACAGGGAAGACCTCACTCAAACCCAGACTGATAATTGATTTATGTGCACCACATTCCTCCACTGTCCCCAGCCTTAACTCTCTAATACCTTGTAGTGAAGAATTTTCACTACACTACGCCACTATCGACCAGGCCATAGGGGCCATTCTTCAAGCTGGCACAGGAGCATGGTAAGTAAAACCGACGTGGTAAACGCTTTTAAATTACTACCCATGCATCCTTCCCTATGGCATCTACACGGCATTAAATGGTAGGGGATGTATTATTTCTTTACCCGACAAAATTTTGGCTCCAAAAGCAGCCCATGTATTTTTGACACGTTTGCAGAAGCTTTATGTTGGTTGTTACTAAATGTGTGCAAGTGCCCTTCGGTTATCCACTATCTGGACGATTTCCTCACGATTGAGAATAACACACTCCCACCCAGTAGTTTGAATCACATGTTGGCTTTGTTTGAATCCCTCAATATTCCTGTCTCCCCTCACAAAACTTTGGGTCCAGATACCAACATGCAATTTTTGGGGATCCAACTAGACACGATACACATGCAGGCTAGTCTACCTCAAGACAAGATTGAGCGTACCCTGGCAAGTATTGAACATTACCTGCTACAAAGTCATTGCAATCACAAAGAACTTCAATCACTGCTTGGGTCGCTCAATTTTGCCATGAGGATCATACCCCAAGGTAGATAATTTAAATCCCACCTGCTATCCTTGTTTCCACTATTCACCTCAGACACTTCACATATCACATTAAATGTACACGCAACCTCGGATTTACGCATGTGGGTTTTTTTTCTCACCTCTTGGAACGGGCGAACCATGTTTATACCACCCCCCTCCGACACTTCACCTACACTGTGGACAGATGCCGCAGCTAACACAGGCTTTGCGGCAATCTGGGGTGATCAATGGCTTTGGGGACCTTGGCCGACCGAAGTCAAATCACTACCCAAATTCTCTGATACCTCGGCTTTATTCGAGTTGTACCCGATTGTGGCGGCAGCCATTGCTTGGGGACCATATTGGTCTGGCCACGCGGTCAGGTGCTACTCAGATAAATGGCTATATGCCATATTGTCAATAAAGGCCGATCGGCATCACTGGTCATTATGAGACTACTAAGGCATGGGTAGCGGCCACTTGTCAATTCTTTATAACATGCATACACATTCTGGGGTACACAAACACCTCTGCTGATCACTTGTCTCGGTTTCGTTTCCAGGCTTTCCTCTCGATACTACCCAATGCTTCCAGACGAGCGACCTCTATTCGGAGACATGATAATGGATTAAAGACTTTGTTAGATTACGCACGTCACATTTCTCATCTGGCACTCTCAGTAAACACTAGGAACACTTATGATAGGATTTTCCATGTATTCACGAAATGTATCACCAAGTTTCACATCCACGACATGTTTGCGTTAGAAATGATTTTAAGTTTTACTTCTTTTTGCCACATCAACCTTAAACTATCCTTTAATACCATTAAACTGTACCTTAGCGGCATCCAGCACCATATGCTTATCCAACAACCTAACACTACGGATTTCTTGACATCATATCAAATAAAAACATTACTTAACCCCTTAAGGACCAAACTTCTGGAATAAAAGGGAATCATGACATGTCACACATGTCATGTGTCCTTAAGGGGTTAAAGGCATTAAAAAAATTAGATACACATGTTCCCTCACAAAGACTACCCATATACAACAACATATTCCACTCTCTATCCAACTTATTAGATTCATCTCCTTTTGAACCCATGACCAATAACATAATAAAAACAGCCCTATATCTCGCTTTTTACGGGTTCCTACGTCCCAGTGAATTTACAACCACGACCATCACAGCACACGATTACCTAAGAAGTAATGATTTACAAAAACATACCGACCATTACATTCTCTCCCTAAGACAATCAAAAACCAGCACCGAAGGACACACTATTCAAATTCCTCTGTACCCTACTCCCAATATATGGTGCCCAGTAAAAGTTTTGGATACTTATTCCCTTTCAGTCCAAAAACAACCCCAACAGCCTTTGTTTGAACTGCATGGACACACTCTGACCACAGCTAAATTCATGCTAAACCCTAATCAATTTTCAGGTCACTCTTTCCGTATAGGGAAATCATATTATTAAGGCTATGGGACGCTGGAAATATTCCACCTACACACTCTACATACCTAATCCCGTTAAAGAATTAAGACAAGCTTTTTGTGACTTATCTCAATAAACGAAGTTGGTTCACGAATTATGTTTCCTGGTCATTTTCTTTTGCCCACTTTTATTACAGGCCTACTGCTTTGTCGGTTCCGGCACACCACAACCAACTGGTGCTAACTTATGGATGCTATGATTATATTATGCTAAGATTTCTCTGTTCGGCCATATTGCCCCGACTACAAATTTGAAGGCTTGGCCTGTAGTTGTGGGAGGGGCTTGGTTCCCCTTTAAAAGGGCTGCCAATCCACTCCCACCTTACCATTGCTGGTCTGGCGAGTCAACCCTCCCACCATCCCTCTATGTATAACACCCTCTAAGGTGGGCCCATTTTTATTACAGGCCTACTGCTTTGTCGGTTCCGGCACACCACAACCGACTGGTGCTAACTTATGGATGTTATGATTATATTATGCTAAGATTTCTCTGTTCGGCCATATTGCCCCGACTACAAATTTGAAGGCTTGGCCTGTAGTTGTGGGAAGGGCTTGGTTCCCCTTTAAAAGGGCTGCCAATCCACTCCCACCTTACCGTTGCTGGTCTGGCGAGTCAACCCTCCCACCACTCCCTCTATGTATAACACCCTCTAAGGTGGGCCCACTTTTATTACAGGCCTACTGCTTTGTCGGTTCCGGCACACCACAACCGACTGGTGCTAACTTATGGATGTTATGATTATATTATGCTAAGATTTCTCTGTTCGGCCATATTGCCCCTACTACAAATATATATATATATATATATATATATATATATATATATATATTATTTTTTTATTATTAGTTTTATTTATTGATAAATAATTCTCAGTGTACTTTATAAATATGCATATATTAATATTAAAAAGCACTTATAATGATATTATGTATATATATATATTTTTTTATGCATACTATTTGATGTTATATCTACAATATATTATAAGTTAATTAAATCATGCTAATAATATACTATACATATATATTACATATATAATTTGTTTCCAAGTGTATTTTGATATTAATATATTTAAAAATATATTAATATCAAAATAGAGGAACAATGAAATTATATATGTAAAATGTATGTATAATATATTATTGCCATGCTTTAATCAACTTATAATATATTATGCATGTATATTACATGTATTATATATTATTTAAAACTTTTGGGGACAACTTTTTGACAACTTAGCCCAGAAGGGTCGAACTGGCAGAAGGGGGACTGCCTTGCCAGGCCTGAATCGCCATGCCAGGTAGGTTTTTGTGGCCAGGGGGGCTAATGAGCGTTGGATTCGGTGCTTCTCATAGCAAAGCTTTGAATTGGCACTTGTTGCACATGCAATGTGTCCCCCTTACTGCTTTTCTATGAGACTTGACAAAAGTCATCAGTATTAATGCCTGCATTGGAGGAGGATCAGGCTGCAGTTTTTATAGAAATGTTATTTATCTATTTTAAACAAGAACGGCAAAGTAATCTGAAATAAAGCAAGAATACCGTATATACTTGAGTATAAGCCGACCCGAATATAAGCCGAGGCCCCTAATTTTACCACAAAAAACTGGGAAAACTTATTGACTCGAGTATAAGCCTAGGGTGGGAAATGCAGCAGCTACTGGTAAATTTCTAAATAAAATTACCAGTATATCCCCAATAAAATTACATTAATTGAATATTTATTTACAGTGTGTGTATAGAATGAATGCAGAGTGTGTGTTTGTGTGTGTATATAATGAATGCAGAGTGTGTGTTTGTGTGTTGTGTGTGTGTATATAATGAATGCAGAGTGTGTGTTTGTGTGTGTATATAATGAATGCAGTGTGTTTGTGTTTGTGTGTTGTATGTGTATATAATGAATGCAGTGTGTATATAATGCAGTGTGTGGGGGGGCAGGGCCTGACCGGGGAGCTGAGCAGACATGCTTTCTGTGAGCTCCCGAGCTTGGGCCGGATTTTCGGCGGAAAACGGAGGAAAACTCACCCAAACTGGTCCTTCAGCCCACTGCAACTGGCACTGTGAAAGCGGGGGTACAGGAGGACACCTCACAGACCTACAAACCCGCTGGGAGTCCGGGCCGGGAACTTGGGGCCTACAACGCATGGTGGTGAGGAGAGACGGCCGCTCTCCCAACTCGCCAAACCAAGCGGCACCCGAAGCATCGGGCCTCCCCATGACCAGTGGGGGTTATCCTGGTCCATAAAAGCATGTACCTTAAGCCTCAATTGACTGCAATTGATGAAGACAGCCAACAGCATGAAACAAAGTCGAGCGGACGCTCATAAAATGGAGACCTCAGGGAAAACTGCAGAGCATGCTTCCACCCAGCCTCTACACCAGCGTCTAGATGCATTGCTCAGCCGGTTCTGGGAGAAGCTGAAAAGACGGATGGCACGTCAAACCCTTAAACACCAAGAAGAGGTGAGGCAGCCCCAGGCTGTAAGGCAGAGCGGGCAGACCCCGGGAAAAGCCGCCGCGCACAGACAGGTGGAACACCCATCCCGGCAGGGGAACATTAGGAGACTCCCTCCTATCCACCGACCACACCGCAGGAGAGCCGCCCGCCGCTGGTGGCGGACAACCACCAGGGCCCTCCACAGCGCCCATCATGGGAAAGACCCGGCCCCGAGAGGCAACCGAGTCTGTGGCCACATGGTGCCAACCCCACATGATGCCGGGAATACAGGAGAAGCCCCCAGCTGCAGTCACCTCCACTCCTCGCTGACCCACCTGAAAACGCTGCCGGAACACCCACCCAGATGGAGCATGAGCAGCCTACACTCACCCAGTCGTACAAGCAGAGCCACCAGAACGGGCATAGGGTGAGGCACCCCGCAACCAACAACTCAGAGACTGAACTATTAACCAACTGAACTATAGACTCTAAAGCAGGCCACCTACCATGGTAATCAGACCCAGCCATACACAACACATACTTCATCCCTACCAAGGGAGTACACTCACCCGACACGGCTGGCAGTACACAAGCACCACACATAAGACCAACACTACCCTCGCCAGCTGCATGGCGGTCACAACAGCTTATCACCGCACACATATATCGACACACCAGCCTGACCCCGAGAAGGTCCATCACAGAAGACTAGGATAGTACAGCTCCATTCTCACAAACCACTACAGTTCCGCAGCATGCATCCACACTACACCACACAACTGTGTTACTTTCATTGTCATGCAATGTCTCAACCCACTCTTGTTTGTGACTGTGATTTTTTATCAATATGCAGCAGTTAAATAATCATAACGCAATAGCTTGTTATAAACTACCCTAATGACTGGCAAAGGCACAACAGTTGACTCATGGTTTAATCTACTTGGTATTATACTGTTGGAATATTAAGTTTAGTACATGCACTGTTAATTTAGTATGTTACATACTGGGTTTTATAATCCATAACCTGAATTTCCATACTACAGTTTAAACTTAAAAAATAAGGCATTGGGGGCGTGGCTTGGACGCCGATCGGAATGGCGGCGTGAACCCGAAGCTCCCTGCAGGCTCTGCACTATTACCCGCCTCACTAGCCCCACACACAGCAAAATGGGCAAAACAAACCGGCAACAGCAAGCGGCAGCGGCCGCCAACACTCCCAGGGGGTCCCAGACACCGGGCATGAGACAGTACCTCCTGACCCAAGCGGATCACGTCTCTCAGGCCTCTAGTGACTCGGAGGCCTCGGGCCTGGCCCGCCCGTCCTCACCAGGCAGCAGACATCACGAACAGGTACTACTTACACCTGACCTACCCCCATCCCAGTTGGACTGGGCATCCCTATTGAGCAACCTACCCACGAAAGCTGACCTTAAAGAGGCAAATGCCGCCCTTCACAAGCCCATAACAGGGGAACTCCATGCCTTGAGGGAGGACATGTAGGGGCTACACCATAAGCTAGCATTGTTGGAGGCAGACTGTGACCACGTGACATCAGCACAAAACGCCACCGCAAACGTAATACAGCGGCAGACGCTACAACTGCGCCAAATGGCCCTCCACATGGAAGACCTCGATAATAGGGGGAGGCGGCAGAATATCAGAATTCGGGGCCTGCCTGAGGAACTTGACCAGACAACCCCAATACGAGATTCCCTCACGGAAATCTTCAACTCCCTCCTACAGCGGCCGAACACGACGCCTATTGATTTTGTTAGGGCACACAGAGCCCTCAGACCCAGAGGTCCTCCGGAGTCCCCCCCAAGGGACGTGATATGCTGTTTACTACACTTTCAAGTGAAGGAAGACATCCTGAAGAGCGCTAGGGAGAAAAAACAAATCCTTCATCATGGCGCGGAACTACAACTATACCTGGACCTATCTCCAGGTCAGCACATACAGCTGACCTGGCCGGACCCGATGTCCTTCTACGAGTTTTCACCCGAAGCACACCGCCAGTCGCAACAGCCCTCCAGGCCACGAAGAACTAGACAGCAGACCACGCGCCCCACGGGCGCCAACATATAAGAGACTGCGTGCCACCTACCTTCCATCCTGGGCCTCACCTCGACCCACCCGTGGACCAGACACACACCTCCATACCCGATTACCAGATCCAGAGACTATGGACACAATGCGCTGACCCCTCCGAACCGCAAGTATACCTCCCACGGGAGACACACCCAGCCACATAAGCAGAGAAGCACCGGGGGGCGCACCTGGGACACTGTGACCTAATGGACTAATTTAACATTTTTATGATAACGCAAGGTGCAAGGGTAACGAGGGACATCTGATCCACATATATAGGGTTAGGAGAATATAGAGTGTCCACCCCCCCGGCTGGGTCCGGCCGCCGCCGTTCGCACACCCGGGGTGGGGACACAAGGGTTGCGGGAGAGAGGGGTGGGAGCGGCCGCCACTGGGCCACACAACCGCAGGGGCACCTCCCACAAGAGACACGTCCAGCCACACCAGCAGAGAAGCACCGGGGGGCCCTGTGGCCTACTGGACTAATTTGATCTTCCTATAATAATGCAAGGGGCAAGGGAGACGAGCAACATCAGGCCCACACACTTGGGTCTAGGGGATCAGGGGGGCACCACCCCCC